TTTAATATTTATTCGTAGGATACAATAGATAGTAGGTAGTGACAGAGAGAAAATTTATTTTCGAGGGTAGTTATAAGGCATGGTAACTTTTTATTTTTTCTTGAAGCTAAAAATTTTTAGGTTCTTCAAATAATTCTGAGCCCTTAACTCAGAAACCTTGCTTTGAAAGGGGGCACAGAATTATCTGAACAACCTAATCGATTTTAAGAATGGAGAGCGAGCTTTACTTGTCTAGCTACGTATATTAAATACTGGACCTGTAAAGGGGCCGGACCGGACCTAACGGCCTTCTTTCAGATCATTATAGTACACATAAAGTTATGTATAAGCTACATAAAGCTAATCCTCCTTACATTGCTGTTTCTGGTAATGTAAAGTTTTATAACGATTCGATTAGGGAAGCGTTTGGGCTTTTTCTTCCTTTTAACGCCTGGGGAAATTCTTTTTTCCAAAACCCAGAAAATGCTTCCAAAATCAAACGTTTTCTGCTTTTGTTGCTTGTTTACAAATCGTAGGTTATTAAGTCAAGTGCAAGTTAACTTTTGGGGCACATCTTTCCAATGACTTTTTATTTGCTTTATATCTTCTTAACAGTTGATTTGTTTTTTAATTTTATATGTTTTGGCAGTTTTTATCTTGTATTGTTTGTAAAAACTTCAACACAATGGCTTCAAAATAATTTTAATGTATGTAAAGTATGTTATTATTGCTTACGTACTTTTTTTAGCTTATAGAACACATTAAGTGATACAGTGAAAAGTCTTTTGTAATAGGAATCCTATCAAGAATTACCTGGATAGTGTGACACTTTGTTTATAATGGCCTCTTGGTCTAGTACTTTGAGTGCTATACTAAAGAGGTTTGATTGTATATAATGTTTGGTACATTTAAAAAGGTTTATAAAAAGCGCGTTCTATTTTTTAATTTTTGATATGATAAATTATTAAAATTAGAGCGTAAAGTCTGTCGCTTAACTTCATTAAAAATTAATTTCTGGACTAAACTAATGCATACGCTTTTTGTTTCTTATAAAATACAAAAAGTACCTTTTTTTACTGTTGTTTACAGTCAACTCTTTTTAGTCTAGTATTCACGAAATGGGTTTAAACTTGTCCTTATATCCAGGATGTTACAGGTTTAGCGCTGTGAAAAAGCAGGTCAACTGATAAAAGTAATTTTAATTTTTTAAATTTGGGCTGGGAGAAGTACTAAAGTGGCACCCTCTGTATAGCAAATTGCTGGGAGATTCAAAATTTGTTCGTTATGATGAGGTTTTGTTATACAGGAGTTTTTAATGGACTGTTTAGTGTTAGTCTGGGATTCAAAAGTTCTTTGTTATATAGGGCTTTCGCTATACAGGAGCTTTAAGTCGACTGTGTAGTGTTAGAGTTCCTTATATACAAAAATTTCACTGTATCTCACTTTGTTATACTCAGCTTAATCTTGTTTTACCAAACCTTACCTTATACAGTTATAACCTATCTTACTTTCCGACGTCGTATTTTACTTTACTTTAAGGGTGTCATTGTTTTAGGAGGAAAGAAGGGTGTAAAAGTTCGAAAAATTTTGTATGTACAGGGCTGGATCTACCCCTATTCTACATTTACTATCTCGTCTAGTGAAGTCGTTGTTTTACCTTACTTTACTTTATACTATCATACTCTATTATATTCTACATTACCCTACATTACCTTAACTAAACTTGCTTTACCTTAAATTGCCTTGACTTGTTATACATAATAAATTGTTTTACTCTACTTTACTTCACCCTACCCTTTACTATACCTTACCCATGATAGTAAAATAGCAGTAACTTAGTTCAATTGTTGTTAATCCAGCTGATCTGCTTGTTCAATAAACCAAAATAGTGGTATTTCGTCAATTACATTGTAATTCAATTTGTTTCCAATATTTATATTGTGTTTACATTATTCATGAGATTGCTATGTTAAGGAAGAGGCTTCGATTCACGATTGGAAATGGTCTGTTTTTCATAATGACATGATTAATGTTGTCTTGTAAATTGATCTTTAATCTCGTTTTTATGAGTTTTGTAAAAATCTATATAAGATTAAGTTGGCATGTACATAGTAGAGGATATATTAGAGTACTATAAGGTTTGGTACTGTTAAAGAGTACTATGAGGTGTGGTATTAGAAATTTGAGAGTCAACATGTAGTACAGGTTATGCTAGAAGCCCAGAAATAGTTTTAAAGCTATCTTTTGTCTATTACAATACCTCTTTTTACGATGATAACGCACCTACATTGTAGTACAAGCATCTGTAAACATATAACTTAAATTAAAAGTACCTAAATAGCAGTATAAGTGTGTATGTAGTCAAATTATAGTTATGTATATAGCCATATAGTCACTATCTTACAATACACTCACTACAACATGTTCATGGTGCATTAACGGCTATGTTATAGTCACTACATTGCTCTACATGTTACATAGCTATGCTATAGTCAATACATTGCAGTACATAGACATTTATAGCCATGTTATACTCACTACATTGCTGTACATGTGTACATATATAGCCCCATGATAGTCACTACATTAGTACGTAGCCATATCATAGTGAATTACTGCCGAGCCCTTCTCCCCATGCCTTCATTTGTTATTCTTCCACAAACGTTTACTCTTTTTTGTTCCTGGAAAAAAGTTTTTGTGACCTTCTCGAGTTACCAAAACACTCGAGATTATCCTGAATTTACGTATCGCAATCCCGTGGTATTAAAACAGTATAATAGTTGTGGGTTAAGGTACTTTTAAATCGCTAAAGAGGGATGTAAGAGGTTAAGAAAGTGCAGGTTAAAAGGGTAAAGTTAAAGAAAGTTTAAGGAAGTAGGGGAGATGATAAGGAGTAGGGCATGGTAGAGTACGAGTTTTTTTTACAAATCTTCATTTTTTATATTTTTTTGTATTTTAAAAGGGAGTAGATCATGCTCAACCTTTCTCAAGCATTTTCCTCTGGCAGCCATTCCCCTACCATCTAACCCTTCATCCTTGCTTCCACTTACTTTTTGACCAATATTCTTTACTACGTATTCACTTACTATGCTAAGGCCGCGCTACTTAACATAGTAGCCTACCATGGCAAGACTGTGCCACATAACATAGTATCCTACCATGGTAAGGACGTACTCTTTAATGTAGTAGCCTACCACAATAAAGACATGCCACTTAACATAGTAAAACCTTTCCCAAACCGTAATCGACCGAACTGAACCTGCGGGAATTAAAAACGTAATAAGTTTGTCGCGCTGAAGAGTTCATTTCCCTTGCCATTGACCCGAAAAATCGAATTTTTTCTGTTTCTGCGGCTTTAAATTCAGTTTTCGGCGCGACAAAAATGAATCCGCCTTGGGGGGTTTGTCTTCAAACCGGCTGGTTGGAGTTGAAAATTTTAATTTTTGGGTATGAGGGGAGGGGGGTAAAAATGAATATAATGTTTTTGTACAAAAAACTAGGGTAGGGACATCGTATTTTACAATACTTAAATTAAAAAAAATAAATTTTAAATTTTTTTTGTACTTTAAAAAATTTTTCACCTATCGTATTTTACAAAAAAATGAAAAATCCTAAAATTAACAAATTTGAAACCCAAGCCCCTCAAGAAATTTAAAATACAAAAGTCGAGGAAAACAAAGTGCGGCCGAATGCCTCACGTGTCCTCGTCTCTAATAAGCGGCCTTATAGCCAAATACTTTTGTTTTTATATCTTTTTCGCTTTCAAATTAGTTTTGCCGCAAAATTTTTTATAAATTCAATTTAGAATTCAAAATATTTGTTTGCTACGAATATGTGGGGTAATAACATTGATCTAGTTTGCACGCTTATAAAGTAGCTTTTTAGTTTACGTTGGAGGGCTTGCAAAGTATTAGGTTGTCTGGAAAGTTCTGAGCTAAAAACTTTTTTTGAAGAATAAAATTGGCAAAAGGGATAAAAAAAGTACAGTGGCATCTCTGTATAAGGAACCTCTATATACCAAACTTTGTTAAAAGAACAAGTTTCCCGGCTAACACTTCACGGTGCATTTAAAACCTCTGTATAACAAAACCTTTTGATAACGAGCAAATTTTAAATCCCCTAGCAATTTGCTATATAGAGGTTTCACTGTATGTAAAATACTTCGCAGTAAAAATTTGGGTATTGAGTTATTAATTAAAAAAACAATTTTGTAAATGTTTTAAAAATTTAGTTTACGACAATTTTTAAACATTGTCGTTTGGCTCAGAACTTTATTGACAACTTAATAACATTTTAGTTTACATTGGAAAGCTCAAAAAGTGACTTTATAGTTTACATTAGCCGGCTTATAAAGTATGTTTTAGAATGGTTAGAATTTAATTTGAATTTTTGGGCGGGGTAGGGCTTGGAAACTTTTAATAGTAAATGTAGATTTGATTATTATGGTGCTATATGGGGGAGGAGTAGTTCATCAAGTTTTTGCTAATTTTCATTTGATTTCATTTAAAAAATCGTTTCAGAGGAGTAGACCACCCCAATGAATAGGTATCTTCCCGGTATATGTCACTTTTAAAATGGGTCACCTTACAGAATAGGTCATCCTCGTTGTAAATTCAAATATAAACGCATTCTGGCTTTACTCAAGCCAACTCCTGCCCATCTTAGCTCTACAAAAGCCTACCCTTGTCTTTTTTAACCCTACCCATGCTGACCCCTGCCCATTTTTAGTTCTACTCAAGTCTACACCCGCCCATTTTAGTTCTACTCAAGTCTACACCCGCCCATTTTAGTCCTATCCAAGCATACCCCTGCCATCTTTAGTCTTACCCATGCTGACCTTTTTTATTTTAGTCTTACCCTTAAAAAATCTCTTTCAAAATTTGAATAACTTCAATTTATTTTTACACTTTTAAATTTTCTTTCTAAAAAATTTAAAAATTCTTTTTAAATTTTGAATAATTATCAATTTACTCTCCATTTTTTTCGTTTTTTTTTCATTTTCTACCTTTTACCAACCTAAAATGAAACGTGTCCAAATTCCAGCAGTTGTGTACGGGCCGGACCCAGGATCGTGCCGGCTTCTGGCGTGCGTCTACCGGCTACTGACTAGGCCGGTCCGCAACTCGATGGCCGGCCTAGGCTTTCGACTGCGACCGTTTTTGGCGGGTGCCATTTTCACTGTGTTTGTTTTCTATTTGACCGGCGTCAGTTTTCGACCGACACAAGTGGTCGATCTGACATCACGACGGAATGAAGACCGATTACCATTGATTCAGAGCAAGGATGGCCGAGTAAATGTGTCGTCGCCGTTGATTTTTATTGGTGGAATTCCGAGGAGTGGGACAACGTTGATGAGGGCTATGTTAGATGCACATACAGAGGTTAGGTGGTAAGTTGTAGTCTTTTTTGTCTTTGAAATGAACTTATATAATAGTGAAGTTAAGAAAAAAATGAAATTTTAGATTGTCCTTTTTGATAATCAATTGATATTAGGGCTTCGAAAAAGTCTTGTCGCTTTTTAACGTGAAAAGTAATGTAAATTTACGCAAAGACTTTCGACACTTTAACATCACTTTAAATTTTGAATGTAGAGTAAATAGAAGGTAAAATACAAGTCGAATTTTATTTTATGCTACGTTTAGATACGCGTTTCAAAAACTTGGGACGAAATGTCAAAAAAACGCGTTAAAAAGAAAAAATATTCGTTTTGAGCTCTTCTCGATATTGTTTTAGATTTTTAATGTTGTTTTATGGCATAATTCTTAGCTAAAATATTAAAAATATGTTTTTCTGTTTTTAAAATGTATATTGAGTAAAATGTGCTAAATCTATTGACGTTTAACTTGCATTTTCTATGTTATGTTATATTTTTCTTCTTTTGGAGGTTTTCATGTTTATCTCTTTCCGTTTACATGTTTTAAGCTACTAAAACCCAACCTAAATGATTCAAACAGCAAGAATAAAGCCTTTTATTGCTTTCAAGATAAATACTTTTGTATTTTACTTCTAATTTTATGAATTTCAGTGGCGAAGAAACAAGAGTGATACCTAGAATTCTCGGCCTCCGATCAGCGTGGAAGAAGAGCGAAAGAGAATGGAAAAGGCTACAAGAAGCTGGAGTTGTGGATGAAGTTATCAACAGTGGAGTTTCTGCTTTTATTATTCAGGTACTGTTATTGCCGTTATCAATTTTTGAATCATTTTAGTTAAAATTTTTAAAGTTTGATTTTTTTGAAATTTTTGATTGACTGCCATTTTAAAAATGATATTTTTTGGCTGAATATGACAGCAATGATTCTTCTATACCTTTTTACTTACTTAATTTCTATAATTAAGTCTCTGTATTATTCATAAAATGACGAGTTGTTGTCTATACCTATATCAATATAACCAATTCATGTAATTACAGATCATTGCCGGCCATGGAGCCCCAGCCAAGCGTTACTGTAACAAAGATCCGTTCACCTTAAAGTCTACAGAATATTTGTCAGAGATATTTCCGAATTCTAAGTTTATCTTTATGATAAGAGATGGTAGAGCGACAGTACACTCGATTATATCAAGGAAAGTGACAATTACTGGCTTCGACTTGTCCAGCTATCGACAGTGTTTGGAACGATGGAACGCTGGCATCAGTATGATGTATGAACAGTGCGCGAGTGTAAGTCTTTGTCGCGCTTTTGGGTAGATTTTTTTAAATTTATGGTAGGGTTAAGTAAGGCTATGGTAAGATAAGGTAGGGTAGATGTAGATATTAGCTATCGAGGTTATACAAAGCCAAGCTATACAAAAGTCTGTAACTATAAGGTACTATAAGATAGAGTTAAAGGCAATTACTATGACATTTGTGTTTCAGGTAGGACCAACAAAATGTAAGATGGTACACTACGAAGAACTGGTACTACATCCAGAAAGAGAAATGCGACAAATATTGGAATTTTTGGATTTACCATGGGATGACAGAGTACTACATCATGAGATGCTAGTTGGAAAGAAAATCGCGCTTTCAAAGTAAGGGACTTTACATTTGGAGCTATACCTATATCTACTAGCCATATAAATTTAAAATATTTAGAAAATTTAAATTTTTCAAAATTTTTGTGATTTCGAGTATCATTATACTATTTTTCTAGGACCGAACGATCAACCGACCAAATCGTGAAGCCAGTAAACCTGGACGCTCTGACCAAATGGGTTGGTGCTATTCCAGACGATGTGGTACAAGACATGGCTTCAATAGCACCAATGTTATCTACCCTCGGCTACGATCCACATGCCAATCCTCCAAACTACGGCAAACCGGACGACATTGTCATCAAAAAGACCAACGATGTGAGAGAGAATGGACAGGAGTGGTACAAGAAGGCGGTGGCAGTGGTAAATGACCCCGAGAGGGTGGATAAGCCTCACAACTATCGACGAGACGTGGGCCAAGTTCAACAAGTTGACAATGAGAATGTTGTCAAAGCTCCGAGGGCACAACGAGTAGTGGACAACTTGTATAATAACTAGTGTGTAATGGCTAGTAATAACAAAGTGTTATGGCTAGTGATAACATTTAACGGATAGTTATGACAATTTTGAGATGTTATTTTAGTGTAAGATAAGATTGTTATTGTTCCAGACGTTTGTATTGATGCTACAGGTCTTTGAAGCTATTTGTAGTTAGAAAAGAGAGGAAGTTTGATTTTAGATTGGTCAAAAAGTCTGTAGAATTAGCTTTTTTAAAGGTTTTTGGCCGTTAATTTGATTAAAATTTGTTTATTTTTGTATTTTAGTGCAAATATCCTACTTTATTACCAAAATATTGTACTTTATTACCACTGTTTTTTATTACCTAAATATTATGTTTTTAGTCCAAAAATTTTACTTCAATGCCTAATTTTATATGTTTTACCTAAATATTACCCTTTCTATACCTATGTTAACATGCATTGTTAAAGTCACATCATTATCACTATTTTGTTGTATTTTTTCTTATCACCGGGTCTTGAGAAGTCTTACTGTAATTACAAAGCAAAATATATATTTAGTCATTTTGGAAAACGTCCTCAACGAATATCTATACCTGCTTGTTTCATATCCTTACCTTGCTACGTTCGTATGATGCTTTCAATTCATAATGGGTACCAAATCGTACTAAAGATATACACCATAAATTTAATACTATAGGTGGTGTTTTCATTTGATTTTTTGGTTTTAAAATTGGTTTTTATTGTATTTTTAAAATTTAAATTTGGTATTGTCTTTGCACTGTGCAGACTTTTCAAAAACTGGCTACATTTTTGAACTTTAGGTAACAAAACATACCAAACTACATAGTAAGTCATATTTAATATCCAAATCGAATGCACAATTTACACAACGAAATAACAAAATTTTGAAAAAAGTACCATAATTACACATCTGGCTACCGTACACAACCTACAGTAATCCATAAACATAACTATGATGAAAGGAAAAGTAAAAATACAAAAAAAAGAGATATTCAAGGTTAAGATCGAGATTTTGTTTTATCTGCCGGTAATATACAGTAATGCCCATTAAAGGTCATACTCTTTAGTACAACCCTTAGGAATGCTAGTAAAGGGTCGCACTCTAGCATATCGTGCACCGACAGCAACCCGTCGTCTTCGATTTTCGTGTGTTATCTGAAAATCAAAAAGTTAGGCTTGTTTTTAGGTTCGTTTACTCTTATTTGAAAGTAATCCCTAAATTTTGCGTATTTTACAATATTTTTTATTATTATTAAAAAATTCGCACGGGGCAATAGTTTTGTAGTTATTGCACTAAATTAGATCGTACAATATTTGTTTTAAATTTTGTAAATGAAATGGAAACTATTGTGTCTTTGCCATATATTTTACTTCACAATAAGTTTTTATCAAAAGTTTATGTCGATTTTTAAAATTATCAAAAAGTTTGATTGCACCTGCAGGGTTTGAATTTTATAATTTTTTTGTAAAGTTGGGCTTCAAATTCCAAAGATTGTAAAATTTTTTTTTGATAATTGCTTTTTACTTAACGTATTTTACATTTTGATCTCTAAATCTTCAAACTTAAATTTAAAAATTTAAAATTCTTAAATTTTAACGAAGATTAATTAAAAACTTAATAACTTGCCATTAGAATTAGGTTCGGGTAGGTTTTCCCGCGTCACTAAATGCATTACTGTGGTTTTGCCCGGCGGCAGGCTTAAGGCGTTTAACGTTACACTGCCGTGCAGAAATCGACCGTGATATATCAGTTTTAATAACTGTGACGATGCTACCGCTTCTTCTTTCCAATCTGAAAACTTTTGATTGTAAACTACGAGCATATATGTTACATTTGTTAAGTTTAAGTTTATTTTTAAAAACTTTTTTAAAAATTTATAACTTTTTTATTCAAATTTTTGAGATAATGAAATTAACATAACTGTAACTAGACTATCTTAGCTAAGTCTTTACAAATTTTGTTTTTTTTTGCATTTAAAGTGACAGTTTTGTCAGCCTTCAAATATAGCACATTCTAAAAACCTAATATTTTTTGATATTATTTTTTTAATTCATAACTAATTTTTTTAAATTTGAATTTTGAAGATTAACGGTACGTAACCTTCATAACCTGATCTTTGTCTTTACCACAATTTATATCTCTAACTTTAAAAATGGCAATTCTACCAGCCTTTAAACCTTAAACATCTCAAACACCTAACATAACATCGCTAACTCATTATGTATCAAAATCCACCCCCTAAAACTACAAAAATAAACCAAAAAACCCTACTTTCTGGCCAATTATCGAAAACATGTTGACAAATGTCTGTGGCCGAGGTGGAGGGTGCGAACTGGAACTCGTGTGTTCTGCCACTGACCAATATCAACTTCAAGTTTATGTGTTCGTCGGCCGTCGATGGTCCCCCACTTTTGGACATATTACTTACTGTTGGGTATGGTAGAAGTGTTGTATATATCTATGTAGTCTCTGTGTTACCGAGTTAGAGTGGGAACCCAATGTTGACTGAAAATGGTGTGGTTTAGGGTTGTAAAATACGGCTTGAAGTTTTGAGGGGTTGACACGTAAGATACAATGTAAAATTTGGAATTATGTAACACGTACAGTAATAAAATACATTTTAAAAGCGAGGAATGTAAACAAAAAGTCTTTTGCAAAAGACCACATATGATAATAAAAAATTAAACAGGTAAAATACGGTCTGGCACGCTATCTGTTTTGCCGTAATGTTGTATACTTGACTAAAAACAATACCATACTCGAAAAAATTTTAAAAATACATTTTTTGAAAAAATTTTTTTTATATGTTATCATTTTCTTTAAAAATTAAGATTATAATTATTAAAAAATCCTTTACAATGTTAACTTAAACATATAACTGACTTATATATTGTAAAATTGAACTATTAAGTTGTGTAAATAATTCTGCGCCCCTAATCCCAAAAACTTCCTTTGAGAGCTTTCCAGCTACCTTATTAGAAAACGTCTTAAAAAGGGGTACACAATTATTTGAAAAACTAATACATTTTTAAAATAACAAGAATAACTACGTCAATATACTCATTGTTGAGCTTTGTAATATTATATGTATGTTGTTCCTTTCTGTAGTAGTTATATTATTATATATTTTGAGAAAATACAAAGTTGTAATCAAATATTAATAAAAGGTTAAGAGGTCTTTACTGTGAACACCAGTTGTGTTTTAAAAAGCAAAATGTATGTTAAGTTAGGCTAGTTTTTGTCCTTACGTAAGCAAATTTTTGACTGTCATTAGGGAATATGAGAGGACTATTACTATATCAAAATAGCACAATAATACCCTTTTTTTAATTCAAAAATAAGTTTGACCTACCCCTTATCCTCACCTTCTCTCCTTCTGCTCTTCCCACCCCCAACTCCACTACGAACCCTCAAATCAATACGAAAAACTACTTGAAAATACAACTAAAAGTAATAAAGGATTACCAATTCCAATGTCATTTCGAATGATGTCATACGGAAAATAATAAAGCAGATAATGGAGTATATTATACCCAATAATAACATTATTATTAGTCGCAAAAGAATGACAAAAGACGGCAATAAGGGCGTCGGCTCGTCTTAACCACAGTTTTTTTAATTGAAATTTTAAGGTCGTTTTTCGTTGTAAAATTGTTAAGAGTTGGTGGTAAGAAAGTTGTAAAAAGATAAGTTATGGGTTGTATTGCGAGGTTTTTTGGTCGGTTTTTGGTATAAAAGTTGTAACAATTGAGGAGTACTATTATATATAATATACACCATGTCCAAATGTGATTTTTGTTAACAAATTTATTGCCCACCCCCTAGCAGACAAAAATAGCCCGCCTTACATTGTTAGTACAACAGTCTTACTCTGTTCCATGCAGTAGATAACCTAGTACTAAAAGATCCTCTTTTCACGCAAAAAACGGTCGATAATTGAAAAACTCGGTACAATACAAAAAATTTTTGTTTTTAAGTTTCTAGCCCTCTGTACCACCTTATATATCCATATATACCCATATAAAACCCTTAAAACTACCAAAAACCCAAAAACCCCCTAATCTTCTTCTACATTCCCACCCTCCAGAAGCAAACCCAGCCAATTTTCCCCCACAAACCCGATGCAGGCCAAAGTAGCAGCCCTCGCCTTCCTGACAAAACTTTGACCATGTAAGTAAGAGAGCGAAGGGAACAGAGTAAAAACACAAAATAAGATTTTTTGTTTTTGAAAGCCGGAAGATCGGAGGCTCTTTTACTCCGTCTTCAGAATTCTCTCAAATTCTCTCTCTTTTCGCGACAAAAAACAAAGAGCCGCGAGGAGAACATACGCCCGGTTTACGAGCTTAAATGTCGTAAACTTTACGGAAAATTGGACAGCTGAAGAATTAGCTTTGAATAAAAGACAACGGAATTGGTTTGGGATTGATTTGAATAGAGTTTGACTACTGGGCAAAAGGTTGGAAAGTATAGTAGAGAAGAAGATGAGATACAGAGAAGAAGGGTGGGGGCTGGGTATAAGGATTGGTAGAGAGAACGTTGTAATATAGTAATATAGAAAGGAAAAAGACAGAGAGAAAGAACAAGATTATTAAAGTGGCCTGAAATTTAATTGCAATCTAGCTAGGCTTAGAATCTAAGCCCTTTGCTCTGTTCTGCCCAACAATTTTCAAAGAAATGTACCCTAACAAAGGAAGTACACAACCTCACAACTCGGTTTCTTATTGAAACATAAACTATTTGAAAGAGAGCAAAAAGTTGCCTTAAAAACATCTTTCAGAAGTTGCTAAACAGTATTGTTAACAAAGTTACTTGTAAAGAAAGTTGGACAAGATAGAAAAAATAAGACACGGCCTCATAGAAGGCAGGCCCTAAGTAAAGAAAGGTATCAAATAAGACAAAGCATTAAATAAGGCTGGGCATTGTTTTGTACCCTATCGTAACCAATAATGCCCTCTAATGCTCTGCCTTTTTGAAGGGTAGCACAAAGCTATGTATACACTATAAAGAATATGTATTCCATGTAAAGGAATGACATAATATTTAAAAGAACGGCGTTATACGTAAAATTTTCAACAGTTTCTTTGAGCTTGAGCATGGGCACACTCCCCTTTTTCACTCTACTAAGCATATTTTCCCAGTAAGTTAAAAAATTTAAAAAAACACAAAAGATTATTACAAAAAGACACTTTACTTCAAATTCAATGATAATTTAAAGCACTAAACTATAATATAAAACTATAAAAAACGATTAAAAGTTTATCATGTATAACAATAAAAAAAATAATAACAGCTACATATCACTGAACAAAACAAACAAAAGAAAAGGAGGATAGTCCCTACAAAACGCGTGTACTCTTGCAGTTTCAAAACAAACATTTATACGTTTTTTTAGAAAATATCGACGCTTTTTATAATATTATTATAATGTAAGTTCTGTATAACAAACTCTGCTGTATACTCTTCTTAGTGATAATCTTTAAACAAAGTATTTTTTCAAAATGAAAGCTACATTACATGCAACACTTGTAAAAAAAAAACTTTCCCCGTGGCCTCTACTATAACAAAAAAATGTCATTTCTTATCCAATATCAATAAAAAAATCCATTTTTAAAAATTTTAAAATCAAAACACACTTTTAGCTCCAAAATAATGTCAAATCGTATAACGGCGTAGTAAAAACCGGATTGTAAATGGAATAAGAGAGCATTGTGTAAAATGTCATAATTTATGAATGTGACATTAGAATAACAAATTTGAAAAACTTTAAATTCAGTTAGGCAAATAATCAAATTAATATTAAAAAAGGCGAGCAGAGGAAGAGAGTGGCAATAACAAGGCTTACATTGTTTTTTATATTTATAAATTTGTGAAGTGAAGTGGGGAAAAAAAGGGGGTAGGTGGAGAAAAGAGTGCTTTTTCAATTTTTTCAAATCAAAAAAAAAGTTTTAACAAAAAAAAATTTTTTTTATTTGGCATTCAGCTCTAAAAACGATCTTTTTACCGCCCACCCCCCCCTTTCTCTCAGTAGTAGACCTGAAAAGGGCTCAACTAGGCCCGACCCAGTCCAAAAAAGATTTGAAAGAAGCCAGACTAGAAAATTACGTCAAGCCCGACCCTTTACAGGTATAATTAGTACTCTCCCCCCCCCCTTAAAAAAAAGTCAATATAATTTAACCCTGCCCACGCTCCGCCTAAAAGATATACCCTAACATAACTGTAACCTCTTCGCTTCATGCTATTAGATTGTACAAATAATTTTGTGCCCCTAACCTCAAAGATTTGCGTTGAGAGAAAGCACAGAATTATTTGAACAAAGTACTACCTCCAAAACCCAACTCACTACCTACCCTTCCCATTCCATCTACCCTATTAGAAATTACCAAAAGAACGACCATAACTTAACTTTACCACTTCCCTCCATACCACCTTCAAAACCCAAATAATTACCTGCCCTTCCCATCCCAGCTACCCTATTAGAAAGCATCTTAAAAAACACAAATTATACTGGAATCGAGCGCATAATGCGGATTTGGCGAAGGTCGTTTGACATAATTTCGCGCCGTCCTTGAAACATTCCCAAAATGCGACCAAACGTTGACGAAAAGCGTGACACTTTGTTTTAGATATCAGGTTCAAAAAAGGCTGGCAATGGAAAGAAGGGTAAACGTGAAAAGGTTACAAAGGTCACGTGAACTTTTAAGTGAGGCGAGGTGGATTGGGCTGCGTAATTTGATGTTTTTGGAAATTAAAAATTTGTTTAAATCTGGGATTGGAGAAATGAGGGGGGGGAGGGGGGGGCAAAGGTAGGGTTGAGAAACGAACCGGGCCGACTTTTGAAGTCCGGCCAACTGAAATTGGAATAAAAATAAAAATTTAAAAACAATTCTTGGCCCGAGCCTATTCTTTAAGTCCAGCCCGCTTCGACTTTAGTTGAACTCCGGCTTAGCTTGATTGTAAGGCCGAGCCAAGTTGGGCCTAGCCTACACGGCTCGTTTCTCACTCCTATACCTTTATGAGGAATCACTCTTCTACATCCTCTCTTAATTCAATCTTGCCAAACTCCCCTTGCCTTAGGCTATAAATAATTTTAAATTTCTAAAATCAGTTTCAACTTACAAAACTTTTTCCTTGACAGTTCATTAAAAATGTCAAAAAAAAAGTTTTGTCGTCAACTTAAATAGCTTTTAACGATGAAAAACGGCAAGGCTTTTTTTCACCTTAACATAACCAAGAAACCCATCTTCTTGTTACCTATACCAAGAGTATACAGTGGCAAATCTAATGTTTTACATCTTCACACATAAAACAATGTCTTTAGCTATAAAAACATAATGTATTGCAGTGTCACACAGTGTAAAACTCCAAAACAAAGCGATAAAACCAATATTAGCAAAAGAGGTCAAGTCAACTTAACGAGCCTCGAGCAAATCTTTCCAAATCTCAAGTCTAACGCAATTATCTCGCTAACTCCCAATTCGAGTTCATTAAGTTGACCACTTTAAATCGCCTCAAGGAACTCCCCTCACCACACGATATACTCAACATACGAAATGTTTAACACAGTAGAAATTAAGTTTTTAACAAAAGTTTTAATTTTTTAAATTTTTTAGCTTTAAGGTAAGTTTTTAGTTTAACTTAATTAGAAAAACATTTTTTTAAATTTAATTTTTTTAAACTTTAAGAAAATTTAAAATTTAAAGGTTAAAAAAACAAAATTTTGATATTTTGAGACCCTTAAACAAGTCCAAACACCACAAAATAAGCGACTATCTGAAAATAATGGTCTGTTATTTAAAGGTAACTATTTGTACTCTAACCATTGTGGCAGCTAATAAGATACCATGTACTTAAGGGTAAGTGGGTCTCATACAAAACGACTGACCTTTTTAAAATTTGCTTTAACCAAAGGTTTAAAATATTGTTTTTAGGCGCTAAAGCTTTACTATAAAATCCATGGTATACTTAAAAAACGGCGTTATGTATAGGTCGTTTTGATACGAAAGCCTTAAGACTAGTACTTTGCAGGCTTTAAGCAAAATTTAAATCGGGTCAAGCCTGAAAATTAAAGAATTTAACTGGCCAAAAAAGCATGAGAAAAAATGAGAACAGGCCAGGCCTAAACGTTAGGCTTCGCGCCCAGGCTTGGGCTTCAAAAGTTGTTTCTCATCCCTAACCTTACAAATCTACTTTAAACCAAAACTTCATAAACTTCAAATACCACCATTTCAAAAAATATTTACCAAACACCCCTTTTTAAAGTTTAAAAACTAAGCATGACGTTGAAGACGAAAAAACGTTGAAAACACGCATTTAGTACTAAAAATAGGCCTACTCGTAATAATAAGCAAATATAGGCCCAATCCGATTCAAAGCTGAGCAAACACCTTTACGGTTTGTACTTTTCAGACAAGAGTTCTGGACAAAGTTAAAGATTGGACAAATGCTTGAACTTGGACAATATATTGAACTATATATTTGCTCGCTCTACTAGGAATCTTGGACTTTGGGGTTAGCGTGCTGTGAATTTTAAAGTTTGAAAGCTTGTTTTTTAGGTTTTAGTAGCAGTTTTAAAATTTCCTACGTTTTAATGCCAAAAAAATAAAATTTTTGTAAAATTAGACATCTAATAGGTTTTTCAAATAATTCTGTGCCCCACCCCCTCTCAAAACAAATTTTCAAGTTTAGGAAGCACAGAATTATTTTAACAACCTAATATAACAAAATTAACATATAATACAAACACAAAAAATTTTAAAAAAAAGTTTTGTCGCCTTCCCACGTTCAAATAAACGTGCAAAAACGCCAAAACTTTAACAACCCAATATTTATTTTGAAGAATTTGTTAAAATATGATAAACAAAATTGTATACAGACAGATATGAACGTAGGTATGCTAATTAACATTGTACTAAAACAACCAAAACACTCAGGAAATAGACAACAGTGTTCTTTTAGTATTCATACAAGGTGACGGTGATCATTGTCATATGCTATAAAATGAAACTTAATTAAGGATTTTAAGCCTTTTTTACATTAAAAACTTAATTTTACTTCTTGAACACTCAAAATTAAAAAATTTACCCTGCCCTCAAATTAAAAAAAATTTTTTTATAGATATTAGCCAAGCCCTAACCCTTTCTTCTCAAAAAAACATTAAATATTCAAGAAAAGTTCAAACGTTTCAAACTTTGCACGCTATCATCATCCCCATCCCAAAACAATTGTTAAGCCTCTTACGCACTTTACTCAAACGAAACAGGTCAAAAACTTGCAAATCCCACCACAAAATGGTCGAAATTACATTTTACGCGAAAGTTTCCGGCACTTAAAGCCTTTCACTGACCGGATGCGAGTATACACATAGTTAGCGACCGAACATAGACATAGTTGGAGTACGGTTTAGTCAGGGTTGACAAAGTTAGGAATGGGTGAGAGTGAAACAGAGGGTTGACACTTTTAGATATTAGGTTGTTCACATAATTCTGTGCTCCTACTAAAAGCAAAACGTTTGGATTAGAGGCACAGAATTATTTGAACAGTGTAATAGTTAAATTAAAGATAAGTATAACTTATAACCAACTTTTAAACACCAATTAAAGCAACAAGAATCTAGTGCTACAATAATTAAAATACAAAAAATCTTCCAACGTCAAAAAATGCTTGTAGCGCCAAATGTTCGGTAAGCTTCTGAAAAAAAAACTATAAATTTGATGGTTTTAAAAAGTTTGCAATAAAATCTAGGTTCACGGTAGAAACAAAAAACGCGTTAAAATCAAAATGTAAATAAAAAATATTTTTTAAAAATAATATTCAAATCTTGTGTTCATGAAAAATATAAATATGGTTACTATGTTAGTACCAGACAACACAGTTCCAGAGAAATTTAAAAAATGACCGAACTGTAGAAAATTTGATAAGAGCCAAGCATATGTGAGCCGTTTGGGGCCCAAGTTGGGCAAAATAAGCTTAGAATTGGAACTAGACCTAAAAGGGGCTCACTAGGCCCAGCCCAAGCTAGAACTAATTTAGAAAATACCAGGCCGAGCCGGTACCCGTAGGTCTGAAGCCCGGGTCCCGTATTTGGGATTACGTCCCGCAAGGAGATTTTTGACTATATTTTTTCTTTACAGTTTAAGTTCCATCAAGAAGAAAAATGTTTTGGAAAGTGAGCAACAATGTCACTATCTTATCACATTTTAAAAATTTTTTCAAAAACCTACTTAAAATTTGTAAAGTCTTTTTCATTTTTAAAACCCTTTCTAAATATAGTCATTTGTAATAGTAGCTATAATATAACTAAACCAAGCTCAAAACACCATTTTGAGTCTCGGAAAAACAGTTAGAAATAACCTCGTTTTTCCCTTTCAAAAGCGTCTGACTATACAGAATCCAGTTTATTATTTATAAAATCGAAAAAATATTTTTTAAATGTAACTGGCACGAATCTCGGAAAATACATAATAATTTCGTGGTAAATAAAGGTAACTTGTTTTCGGTTAGGTTGTAAAAAGTCTGGCCTTTTTTACATTGACGAATTTAAACATACGGTGAGTACTTTTTAATTTGGAGGGATATAACGTATGGACAAGGGAAGGAAAAAAAAATAAAAAAAAATTTTTTAATTGTTAACAAGGGGTTCCCAATTTAAAAAAAATTTAAGCAGGAGGGTGAAGGAAATAAAGTTTTGAAAATTCTATAAAGGGAGGGTGAGGGGTACTAAAAAACTTATTTAAGGCTAGGATATGGTGACTATAATCTAAAACAATTTCATTTCACATTATTAAAATAAAAACAACACAAGGGAATCCGTACATTGTCACTTACAACAACGTAAAGTCCCCTAATTGAGAATGGTTAATCTCAAAATTCCTTCCACATGTAGCCCACAAGAAAAACTTCCTTGTATTTGTCGGATTTGGTGAAAATATTGAGAAAGGAAAAAAACGGCCAAACGGCGACTTTTCTGGCCATTCTCGACAATCCTTGTTTTGCACCCAAAAAGGTTCGCTTTGTTACCACGCCCTCTCCCCGCCGCCCGTGCTCTCTGCGCTTGTTTTCAACGGCAACTCGAAATAATAAGTTTTGGGGAATTTAAAAGATTGTATCGCGTGTACATGGTAGCAGACAATCGTATGATGTGGGCATGTTTACATCATTACGGCTATATATGGCAGGTTTGACGTGGGAAAGAGAATTAAATGTGAAGAGGGGTTTTGATAGAGGTTTGGGCAGGGGTAACAAAAGTAAGCAATTTTAAAGTAAGGGTTAGTACCAAGGTTAACAAAGGCTTTAAAGCCAGCTCTAGTTTAGGCTCCGGGGCAGCTCCAGCTAAGGCTCCAAGGCAGTTTCAGCTTCTTCGGGGTAGCACCGGTTCCGGCTCCGGAGAAACTCCAGTTCCGGCTCCGGGCCAGCCCTAGCTTCAGCTGTAGGGCAGGTCCAATTTCGGTTTCAAAAGCAGTTCTAGCTCCAGCTCCGGGGCAAGTCCGGTTCCGGCTTCGGGCCAGCTCTAACTCCAGCTTCGAGTCAGCTCCGGTTCCAAAGCTAAAACAAGAAGTTTTTTATTTGGAAACTCTGGTTATTACACAAAGTACCAGAGTGCTCAAAAAGATCCGGTTCCGAAGCTAAAGCCGAAACTTTCATATTTAGAAACTTGTTAGTAAATCTAATTGAAGGCGAGTAATTTAATTCTAGGGCAAGGTAAAAAAAGAAAAGAAAAAATTAACAACATATTCAACTTTTTTCAAAAAAAAAATTTTTTCATAGTTTTAAAAGTTAAAAAAATGAATATTTGTAAAAAAAGTCCTATAAAAAACAGCTCAACCCCTAAAAGTCAGACTAATAAGCAACCCTCAGTCTACCCACCCACACAGGCTAAATTTAAAGTTCATTTCCAAAGTTAATTGAAAATTCCAGACAATTGAAATCTGTTTTAAAACATTTATGACTAAAATAATTGTATTTATATTGTAATAGGTAATAAATCGTCTAAAAAAAGGAGATTGTTTTACATTGTAGTAGGTAGCAACTTGTGCTCAATTGTGTTCTCACAAGCTTAAAAACAACGTATACACCTATAAAATGTACCATGACAAAAATAATGTAGGAAAGCAAAGTTCTGACATTTGAACGTTTTAATAAAGTTTTCCATTATTTTGCAAAAAGTAGTTGAGAAGAGAATTCACTCTTGACGTTGTTATAAAGGTATAACAACTTTTGAACCACACTTCCGGCAATTAACCGACTAAAAAACGTTTCGACCAATTTGCCAACTTAATTTTATAGAATTTTGAAAACGGTTTTTAGATTTGAAAAATTTCTTTTCTCGTCAACCCTTTAAAATTTAAAAAAAATGTTGTTGTAGTCACCTTTGATCAATTTTAAAAATTAGGGAGGGGATGGTAGACCACACCATCCCCTCCCTTCTTCTTCATTCACCCTCACACGAAAAGCACTCACTTGGCACTCCATATAAGTGTAATAATTATCTATGGCAAAAATTTATTTTTTTTTTCAAATTTTTATGAAAAAAAAAATTTTAATTTTAAACATTTGCGACTTCTTTACGTTAAAATTTTCAAAAGCAAGCATGTGCGTAGTAAAAACTGATAAAAACGTTAGAATTCCCTCGTAATGTGACTTCAGACGCCTTAATCTCTCAGTTATCCGGTTGAAATTACACTTAATCATTAATCATTATCACTCAAATAAAGAAAAAACAGTTTGGCTTGGGGAATATTAACAAGCGTACAAAGGGGAAGAAAGAAGGGTGTAAAATCCTCCGTGCAAAAAAATAATTACCCTACCCTACATTACCCTACCCACCCCTAAAATATCTCCATCTTAACCTACCCTACCCACAAAATTAAAAACGACTACAAACAAACTATACAACCCCTAACGTCTACCCAACCACACATATGACAATACAACCCATACGGTTGGTAAGCTTCACGACATAAAATACCGACTGACAGAGTATCATTTAGTCTGTATATTAACATGTGGCTAGCATGCAGTAAACAACACCATGCTAGTCTATTTACCATAACAACGTATCGTTCCTTCACAACATGCTTCTAAGTAAACCTAATGCCAACGTATTACAGCAGTGGGTTTAAAATAACATTTAATTATATTTTAATGAAGAACCTACTATAAAACTACTTATTGAAAAATATATATTATTATTTTACGACTAGGTTTTTGAGATAAAATATATATTTTAAAATGTTTAAATTTCTAAGATAATATAAATTTAAAAAGAAATTAATTTTATAATATAACCCGTTTCAAAATTAAAAAAAAAACAAAAATTTTGACGAAAAAAGCTTGTACCATACAGTTTTAAGCATATTATCGAGTTGTTCAAATAATTCTGTGCCCTATAGTCCTGAAAATTTGCTTTAAAAAAGAGTTCACAATTATTTAAACAACCTAACAAGAAAAGTGTTTCAAATCCTAATTAAAACCTACTAAACCTTTCAAAACTAATTAAACTGTACAGTAAAGACTAATTAAACCGTACAGTAAAAGCAGCTTTCCCACCCTCAACCCTAGGCTAATTAGTTTAAACAATAATCAACTTTTGGCTGTAAACGGAACTAATGTAATGTAAATGAAGGTAAGTGGCATTACATCAAACACTCCCACTCTCGAATGTAAAACTTTGTGAATTCAGCTCTCGAGAGTGAGGAAAAAGAGTCGAGAAAGATTCAAAGGCTTTTGGTTTTGGCATTGGCCACAGAAAGCGTCACTCTTTTTCTCTGCCCCGCCCTCTTCATTGGCAGTACTCTCTCGCTTCACATAATGCTTAATCGGATTCTATTCTCTAATAACTTGTGTATAGACTGGAATATATTAGTATGTGCACTTTGAGAGGACGAGCGTAGATGTCTGTCTACCAGGGACATTGTTATACTTGGCTAGAGTCTATTATAGTAAAGATTATGGTTTATATAGTTAAAGTTCAACTTAATTTTATAACATTGTTAGCTTTTAAAAAAAATGTTTTTAATTTAAAATTTTGTGAAAAATTTATTAACTTTTGTTATCCCAAACAGTGTAAATTAAAACCCCTTTAATGTCAGTATTTTGACAAATTGCATCGCTCATTACACTAGTATAATGAATGGCAAAGAGAAAGCGTCTGGTCTATTATAATATGCAGCATTATAATACTTTCAAACGACTTACTTCGACATTGTATGTATACAGCACACTCTTGCATGATGTACAGTAAAACCTCTGTATAATTTGCTAATGCTTCTAAAACACACATCATATTTATTATTTAAAAATGGAACTTGGAGTTCAAAATATACATCAGCCGTACTTTTTGTAGTTCACAAAACAAAACAAGATCATTACTGCATTTTAATAATATTGTTGTTACAACGATTACTCGGAAAAGAACAATCCCTTCCAGACATGGGTCAATTAAATTTTAATTGTAAGGTAATTTGAGGTAGATACGTTTTATATCATCTTTGTCTTACACTATACACTTTTAAGGAGTTATTCCACAATAGCTAGCCCTAGCTTTAAGCCTACCATACCTTACCTTAATATACCACTCTTAAATCAAACTACAAGTGGCGATAATAACAAAAACCTTGTAATTAACAACCCTTTACTTCCTCTACCTACAATAACATGCTATTTACCACAATCTTACAACATATAATACAAACACCACGGCATTTTAATAACCCTTACATTAATATTAAATTACAAGTTAACTTAATCACTAAAATTACATTTAAAATAAATAACTTGAATAACAACGTATCTGTCTGCCAATTGTAAACTAATTATTTTGTAAGAAACACGATTGTTAATGATTATGAAGGAAACACGAGATATGTCACATTTAAAAACATGCTCAGTAGTTATTAGATAAGCCATGTTTAGCAAAAAACAAAAACGTCATTTCGGTTTATGGCAGACACAGTAATTATCGATATTTAAGATTATGGCCGGTTTTGCAAAGTTGACATTTAGTTACAAAGTTAAAAATTGACACTTTGTTACAAAGTTAAAAAAATGACATTTCGTTTTAAAATCAAATTAAAAAAAGATAAAAAAGAAAAAGAATGCCGTGTAGGCCAGGTCTGGTCCAGTCCAACCCACGATGGGGCACAGTCGGCCCTTGCGCTAAAAGTGAAATGAGCCGGACCGAAAATTTAGGCTTACTCATCGGGCTGGTCTTGAAAAATATGCCCAAAAACAAAAATTTAAAAAAGTTTAAAACGGCCCATTGGCCTAAAATGTTTTGACCAGACCAGGCCGGCATGAAAAAAAAATAAAAACAAGCTGAACCTAAAAGTTGAGCTTAGCCCGCAGGCCGGACATAAAACGCAAACCAAAACTTTAAAAAAATTTAAATTTTTAAAGGGGACAGAGCCATGCCGGGCCTAAAATTTTTTGACCAAGCCGGGTAGGCCCGAAGAAAAATAAAAACGAGCCTGACCACTTACTAGGCTTCAGACCTCCTCGCAGCTACAAAAAAAAACGGCCGCCCGTTTCCCACCCCTAGGAAAATCTCCCCTTTCGCGACCAAAATCATCCGCCCAACCCTAGCTGTAATGCATCTGAATCAAGTGTAAACAGGGCTGATATTTGCTCAAGTATTGATAAACCGTGTGCTTCAAAAAAAAAAACAAATAAAAAGTAAAGTCATTTGTTTGTTTGCGCGCTTCCAAAGATTGATAGCCGATGCAAATTATAGTACGTTCTTCGCTTCGTATAAACATACTGCTCCAAGATGCTTCAAAGATTACCCAAAGGCTTAGAGTTTTAGATAAAATAAAGTAATACAGTGGAACTCCTGTATAACAAACTTCTCTATAGCAAAAAAACCGTATAACAAACCGATTTCGAATTCTGGAGTGATTTGTTATGCAGGAGTTCAACTGTATTTGATTTTTCAATTTAAAAAAGTGATTTAAAGATACCAGAAAACTAAATTGTTTCTATATGTGACTAAACCTCCTCCCCCCCCTTCCCCGCCCCCATATATTTTCTGGAACTCGAGTTCAAAAGCCTTCAAATTGATGCCCTTTTTTGTAGTCAGTGTCCTCGTAGTAAACAACTGCGCGGTTTTATTGAATTTGACTGAGAAAATACAAAAAAACCTGTTTTTCCTTAAGATAATTAGCTATTTGACTACAAGTCACATTGTTGTAGCTAAATTACAATTTTTTCTTTTTTGATATGTCTGTTTTTACCAAGTATGTGGAACAGTACCAGCTCGTAACAACACGTTTTTGAACTCTACTATAACATAAAAGTATAAAAGAAAATTGCCTCGCCTTGCCTTGCCTAATCTACCCTACCCTATCCCTCTCCGTGCAAAAACCTCTTTTACCATACCCAAAAACTATTAACCACCCCAAATAGGATTAAATAAAGAATTTACACGACAATAACTGTGTTGTGACTGTCAGATCGACTATTTCGAGGAGAACAAAAGAAATCCCTCACTGAATAATTATACACGATCCAAGACAATGTCTGACGTCTCCTCGTCTCCCACCCTCTCTCTGTGTTTATACGACATCGAGAATAATGGACACAATCGTCCGGTCGACTGCACTCACAGCGCGTGTTTGCCTAAACCGAGCGGTAATTGAAGTGCGGTGACGAGATATAATTACATGATAACATGGTTTGCTTTGGTATATTGGGGACGTGACGATCAGGGCTGGGCTGTGGGGAAATCCCAATTCAAGATATAACAGCGTATTTTAGTTATCTTAGACTCAAAAGCCAAAAAGATTGCTTTAGTTATAAAGCCAAGATTAATGTTATCGTATACCTACAATATATAGCTAATGTCATCGTATATAAACAACAATACAAGAAACCGAACACTTGTGATCCGATCGTCACAAAAACGCCCATTTCAAAGATACGACCAGCTGAATGGCCATCTCTTTGTTCGTACCGACAGATTAACAAAATAAGCGTTTATGCAAATCTTATATTGATGTTTATACAATTGACGTTATAATCTCAGAAGATCATAATTTTAATGCTCAATCGCCGTTCCAGACGAATCTTCCCATTTATTTTTGACCAATTTAAAATAATATTCCAAAGTAAACCTCCAAAAACTAAAAAAATACATTTAATTCAACAACTTTACAACTACAACAATGTACAACTACTAATTAATCTTAAGCTATTAACAAGAAAAAAACAAATTAACAACAAGAAGAATATAAACAACAAAAAAACTGATTATTTACTTTTTAAAATTACAAAAAAGGCAGTTATTACTCCCAGAATACTTTGACCTTTCGCTCGAAGGCCAAGTCATTTGGCCGTTGATAAAACCGTCTAATATCTGAATCAATGGCCTCTTCCATAAAGTAGGTGAAGGTCCCAAAGAACCGGTCCAACGGCGCTGTGTTTTTGGTACTGTTTTTGGAGCTAGACATGTAAATAGGATCGTCTGCATACTTCATGTAGCTCATGTACTGTTCCGGAGCTCGTAACGGATAGGTGGGAGTCTGATCGGAGCTGTGAATCTCTTCGAACGCTTTGAATAGCCAATCAAATTTGTCCTAAACGAATTAGATTCAAGTTTTACCGGATTTTTAATGTATAATGATCTAAAATTGATGTATCTTGTTAATAAAAACGTTTATACTAAGTAGTTTAACTCAACTTTTAACTTAAAAGCTAAACAAATATTAAAAACACACCTTCTATCTTTTATAACACTGAATTCCTCAAAAACTCACTTCCTGAACAGAATCACCGCACATGCTGATTTCGTGTCCTTTATTGTTAGTCTTTTTCTCTTCCAAACCCAACTTGACCATGTTTTCTCTCATTACCTTTTCCAACTTTCTTTCCACATAATCATCGTTGTCAAAACAAGAATCGGCTGTCTGAAACGAACCTTTTCAAGTTTCACGAATCTTTACGAGACAAAACGGTCATCCACTCTTTCAAAACGGATTCTTCCCATTTTTGTATACCTAAACTCCCAAAAAACAATTAAAATTCACTTACCTCATCTTCGGAATAATGAGCAACTTTGAAAGCGGTATTGTTATCGTTGATCGACGTCCAACACGTTTCCTTCCCCCACGGAACCGAATAGTGCATCATTGTCACACGAAACAAGAACAAAACTTTACACAAATGCCAGAAAACTTCAACTACAGCATCGTTGAAGGATTATGCAAATTTGATGCATAGTTAGAAGCGAAGTCTAATTTGATTTTGTTTGAAAAACCCAAATTTTCTTCCTATTTTGACGAAACGTCCAAAAAATATGTCAAGATGACTTATTTTTTAAAGTTCTTTATTATTTTTGGAAAGTTAAATAATGTTGTTCCTGCCGGTAATTGTATAATTGTCGCTTCTTATTAAAAATGCCTAGAATAAACAAGATTGTAAAGGTAATTTTTAAAAATGGTTCGGAGGTAGTTGAATAATTTTAGCTAGGATAACGTTCAATTAAATTTACACGTACAATACCTTGTTAGGTCGGGGTATAATAGTTCCTGTCACTCCCTATTATAGTTGTCAAACTGTTTCTCGTCCGATGTATATTTTCTAATTTAAGCTATAGAAAATAAAAAATGTTGTCTACAACAATATAAAAACTACAACAATTCCTCATTATTTTAAATTCATCAAGCCTTTCCGCCAAACTTTATACACAAAATTTTATTTTTCGACATAATAAACCTCGAATAACTGCCGGTCGGTGGATTACTTGGTCTGCGAGACTTGGGACGCTTGCGAGGCCTGGCTCATCGTGGAGCCGATGGTGGTGGCTTCGGTGGCGGTACTATAGGCTTGAGAGCCCAGCTTCTCTAGTTTCTCCTTCTTGTGACGCATGTATCGGATGCGGCCGACCATACCCACCACGAACAGAATCGTGGCGACAATGGTGCTGATGACGGCGACAATAACTCCAATAATTAGTGATTTTGCGGTGTTGAAGAACTCCTGCATGCTGTCCCTAAAAACAGCATGAAATGTGAGTACAAATTTTGGCCTTCTTCTCCAATACCAAGAAAAATTACTTGTTTTGCTATTGCTTGGCTAGTGAAAGATAATCAAGCAATACAAAAAATGATAACTAGAACCCAACATACATATCACACTCCTTCATTCCACCAGTTTCGATCGAGTCGGCCGTTTGATTGCTCTCCGGTGGTGCTTGAGGCTTCGTGAAGAAACTCCAGCGTTGATCTTCATCACAAAATGTGCCATTCATAATGGCTGGGCTTTGCAACTGGACGTGGAACTTATTTTCCGATCGCAGACATCTGTCCTCATCTCCTTCCAAACTGAAAGTTGTACACGTTGTTAAGTTTGAAGAATAAAAAAATTTTTAAAATAAAATAGCTTTACAGAAAAAAAATTATGTCAACATAAAAATAAACTTACAAGAACGTCACTACGCCATCGAATGCTCCGTTACCTTCAGCAGGATTTTTAGGTGTAATACTAAAAATAAAAAGTAAATTTTTTACTAAATTCAAATTTAAAATAAACATGAACAAAAAATAGCCAAATGTAACATTATACTTGCTCTTACATTCTCTTACAAGTCCAAAAAGACAAGGTATTACCATTGGCCAAAAATATTAGGTACCGACATAAAGAACCCGCCATTTTTTACAGGAAATTACAAGTTAAGTATGGCGGGTTCTTTATGTCGGCACCTAATAATAGGTTGTTCCAATAATTCTGAGCAAATATACTTTGAGAGAGGGCACAAAACTATATGAACAGCCTAATAATAAAAACCTACGCTTCCAAAGTCCACAAACATGACCCAGATTGAGCTACAGGCACTCCCAGCTTGTCCTTTTGTTTGAAGGAAAATTTGTAATTCTCACCATCTGCGTCGGGATAGTGTACTGGGTACTCCTGAAACGCATTTTACAAAACATGACAAGCTTTGCAGGTTTTTACTTTGAAAAACACCAAATATTTCACTAGCATCCTATCTTACTATTCATCAATTGTTAAGAAACATACGTCAACTGCTTTAAACTTTCTTTTGATGTCATCCAGATTGATGCCAAATAAATCAGTATTATTCAAGCCCCTCAACTCTTCATCGGTGCATTGTTCCGCTTTAAAAGAAATATGCTTGGGGTGATCAAAGTCAGTAACATCGATGATAATACATGGCTTCAGGTTGACAAGGTAGGGCTCGACAAAGTGGGATCTTCCAAATGTATTGGCAAAGCGTACAGACTTGTTGCGATCAACTGCACGGACTACATTACGTTTTATTCTGAACTTGTCGCTGAAACATTATCAGTTGTATTTTAACAACTTTTAAGCTAAAGACATTTCTCATAGTGAAGAGATAGGGCAGACTGACATCCTTTTGAAGATTTATACCTATATTGACAGCCTTCCAAAAATATTTTTAAAAACTTACTTGTCTCGAGGAAGAAATTCAATATGTGCTAGAAACAAATTCAACCCATCCTTTTCCACAGCAAACCACGTAATGTACTTATTCTTGTCCGCTGTACTGAACAAACGCCCATCCGTAGGTTTCACCAGCACTAAAACACATCCCTTACTATGATAAACACAAAACAAAAGATAAAAAAAAATAATAACTTACTACCATCAAAAACTCCATCAAGTTTAAGCACATCACCACTCGTATCCTCTTGGTTTTTGTGGGTTAAGAAGAACTTTGCACCGTTCACATCGAATTTGTTGTTCTTAAACCCGGCAATGTAGAACAGGTCCTCGTTTTTGTCGATAAGATTAGGACCACTTTTTACGCTAGTACTACCGTAGCTACAATCAGCTAAAAGCGGTCTGTTTAGTGAAAAGCAAATTCAACATTGATGTAAATTAATATAATAGGTCTTCGTACAGTTAAACAAAAACCATACCAAAGGTAAAGTACAAAATTCAAAGTATATCTCCTCAAACCAACAAAACAATAACCTACCAAAAAACTCAAATCTCTATATACGATTTCAAAAAAGTTATACTAAAAAAACATCAACTTACCATCGGCAGAAAGACCGGTAATCGCAAGGCCAATGAACACAAGACAAAGTTTCCAGCGATCTGAAGATAACATCGTTGCCAAGCTTGTGAAGCACTTTAATTGACAATCCAACGTGCAGTAGATTCTTGAAGAATTTGTCTGACGCGTAACAATGACAAGTCTTCTAAACCGCAACTCCGCAGAAGCACAAAACTCGAAATGAAACGGTTGAAAAAGCGGTGCCAGACTTTATAGAGCCGGTAGAAAATTTGCATAATGGAAGTACCGAAAAAAAAAGTATCAAAAAATTGACAAAAATTTCAATTTTTTATTCAAAAATGTCTCAAATTTAAATAATCTTTCGACGCACATTTCAACTTTTCATTTTTGTGACACTTCGTTGGAAAAGGCGATAAAACTGTGGCATTTTGTGCGCTTTTCGAAATAATTTTATTTATTTTTGCTTTTCTTGGCTGTAGCTTGCATATACGAAGGTGGAAGCATTTCGGGAAGATGTATACTGGTCAAGTAAAAGGTGGAAAGCTAAAGTTGAAGAAGAAGAACATGTAAGTTTTGTTGTTTTTGTATTTATTGGGTCTAAAACATTGATTTAATTGTACTTTACTTTAGTTTTAAATCTGACAAAACCAAAAAGTCAAAGAAAGGCAATGGAGATGGAGCCGGCAGCAGCAAAGTTGACCCTGATCAGCTTGAACATGGTATGATTTGTTATATTTCTTGATTTTAGATACAGATCTATATATACTTAAAAGTTATTCATAGCTTACATGAAAGTGAACCATAATTTTAATCGAGTCTTGGTTTAAATATACATCTTCTGCAGAATCTGAGAAGGTAAAAAATTAATTTATATTGTTTTAGGTGGCTGGTGGAGAATAAATGAAGCACCCGACTTTCGTGGAGGTATAGAAGTGGCCATGGAAGCTGGTGATTTTTCGAATTGTTACTTGGCTGCTCAGGACAATGGATACTTTACATTGGGGCCAAAGCATTTCAACGAGCTTGAGCCACATCCTGAAGAGATATTGTCAGTTATAAAGGCACCGGACGATGAAAAGTTCAGTTTGAAGACAGGATTTGGTAGATATTTGGGTGTTGAGACTGATGGACGACTTGTAGCTATTGCAGAGGCTGTGGGACCTCGAGAACGATTTGAAGTTGTTTTTCAGGATGTAAGTTGATAAAGGAAAGGTTTAATTAATTGATTTTATTGGGGAACTGTAATATCTGGGAAAAGCATTAAGAAAGTGGTTGTTTTAATTTCTACAATGGTTACTTTGAGTACTACAACACGCTTTTTCAGAACAGAGCTGCGATTCAGTGTTCAGCGAGCAATTTGTTTATCACATGGGAACCAGACAAGGATGGCAATGTATATGTATCGTCTAAAACGGCTAGTGCTAAACAGTTTTTGAATGTAAGTTAGAAACTATTTGATGTTTTATGATTAAGACTCAAAATTATAATTAAAGAAACGCAATGATATCTCTTGAACTTGCTAAAAATTTGTAAAAAATCATTTGCTACTTATAAAACTAACTTTTTGATTAATTATATATTCAAACACAACCTTTTTCATGATTTATACGAGTACAAATAGCAAATCTAAAATGATATTGTTTTAGATAAGAACCAATTCCACAAAAAAGGCAGCAGCCGACTTCACAGCAGCTGAAGACTTGCTGGAAGGAGCGAAATGTGAAGACTCATATGTCAAGATGTACCAACATTCACGTGTCGATCTGAAGAATAAGCATATATCTATAAATTTGAATGACAAGTCCTCAATCGAAAAGGCTAAGAAGTCTGGGACTTTGCACGAAACGCTACTGGATCGACGTGCAAAACTCAAATCTGACAAGTATTGTTAACTTTTTAATTATATTTAAGTATTGTATATAATCATTTTTGGTCGATTTTTGGCAAGAAGAGAGTGTTATCTAAATGAATTCTTGGGCAAATGAGTTTACAATAAAATATGGGTTTTATGGCCTTTTTATCATGTTTTTTCTCAAATTATTAATTTTAAATTTTTATAAAATGTCATGATGACAAAAGTTCCAAAAACCCAAATAATGTTCACCATGACTTTAGAATGCTCATCACCTCTTTCATATAATGGTTGATGCCGTTTATTCCTTCTTCTGTTCGCTCTGTTTATGTTCCGTCTCTATTGACAATGACCCATTTATATACTTGTAGGTATAAGAAAGAGGATACGATCGTAAGATATCGTTTATAGGTGGTTGTTCTTTAGTTGGCTGTTCTTCGAAAATATTTGGAATATTCAGGGTTTTGCGGTCAAAAAATACAGAGAAAAGATAGAAAGGAGGTTGAATTGGGAATTTTGGGGCTAGATATGGGGAGATGTAGGTAGTAGGATTATATTAGAATTGGTTTTTCTCAAAAATAATCTTTACTAGAACTAGGAAGGAGAGTGACATTTTTCATTGTTCTATTGCGCATTTTTACATAAAAATAGAGTTTTAATACAAGGTTACTGGTTGATTATAACAAAAACTTTCTCATAACGCCATTGTTCATAATCGTACTGATAATCACTATGAGTATAACAAAGTAGACGACGCTACGTGTGTTGTTACATTACTGTTTCACTTGCTTCGTCTTTTCTTCGCCGATCCTCCCATCTTCTCTTCTCGAATTGAGGTCGGGCTGAGAAGCCGCAGTTCGTGTGAAGCCGCCCTAAGGGCAGATCCACCACCAAGATTAGGGTGGATCCATTTTCGGCGCGGCAGGTGCGTTTTTCTCAAATTAGGTTAAGGGATTCCAGGTTAATCATTTAAACTGCATCCGACGGCTGTCATTTCAAGCTGGAAGCCCTTTTTTGATCAGATTTTACTTTCGTTCGCTTCTTCGCCGGCATTTTACTTTCACAGCGTTTGCAGGCGGTCACTTTCGAAACGGTTGTTGTCTAATTACTGTCGCGGTGGGGTTGCTTTTTCATTGTCAACAAAAGGTTTGGGTGGTTCAAGCTGGAAAGTATTACAGTCAGACTTTAGTGTGACAAACCTTATTTGTATGACACTCAAGGGACTGGTCCAAGCCTGTCATTATAACCAGGGTGTCACACAACCCAGGCACTTCTTGATAGGGGTTCTGTGGCAAATCGGAGTCAAGAAGATGTCGTTATAAAGAGGGTCTTACACTATTCAGGGTCATACTAAAGAGGTTTACTGTATTTTGACTTGGTACAACTTTAATGTTTTTTTGTTGAAACTTGTGGTCAATTATGTAATGTTTCTAAGCACTACAGGTCTTTTGTACGAAACTTTTATTCGAAGTTTTAAAAAAATTTTTTCGGAATTCTTTCTTGGTTGAGGAGTAGATTTATACTATACCTTATTCTGTTTCCCGAGCTACCGAGTCGTGATAAGGTGCTCCTGAAGACTTCAGAAGCGAAGTGAGAATCCTCTGTAGGCCAAGCAACAGAATTGCCATAGTTTTTTACTACAATACATAATGTTTTTATAAGTAAAGGCATTGTTTTATGCAATAAGCACTTCCCATTAATTTTAAGAAAAAAGCCCTTAAAAAATTATCATTAAATTATGATTCGTCTCATATTTCCGTCGATGTTACGAAATTCCTGATATTTTTTCCGCGATGACGTTCAGGAATCTTATCTTTTATCTGATCCGTGGAATGAGGTCGGCGCTTCTTCTGGATTCCAATCAAAGTGGATCATCATCGCCGAAAGGTGGAGAACATTACTCGCGGGTGTTCTGGTATTTGAGGAAGCGCTTATTGTGTTACGATGTTGTGGATGAGGGGTTGAGTTATTACTCATGTAAATGTTTTTTTATTTTAAATTTATTAAAATAATTTTTTAATTTCAATTTTTTTTTACTTTTTAAAATTTTTAAAATTTTCTGAAATTTACGTATTCTCATCCAAAACAATCGGATAAACACAAAATTTTACTGTCACCTTCGTCCTTCCCGCTCGTTTCATCGTATATACCTATTTTGGAAGTCGCGGACCGATGATTTCGAATCGAAATCCGCGCCGAGAGCGCCGCCGGACATTTGAACATTTTTGCGTTCCCAAAAAAAGTGAAATTCGCTATTTTTTACTTTATTCAGTAACTTGTTTCAAACAACGGTTTTGGTTTGCGATAAAGGTTAACGGGCGCGACAGGGTGACGGATATTGAAAGAGGGTGGTGGTGACGTTATAATAGAGAATAAATTTTTAAAAGACGGTGTTAAACTATTTTGATGTTACACAAGTCCAAAATTAAGCAAAGAATTTGAATTTTTATCAATTACTAACTCATTACTAGCAAATCAGTACTTATTTCGTGTACCGTGCTACAATAATACCAACTTCAGGCCTTTCTTAGTCGATAATACACTATTAACTCTATACCTTTAGGGTTTTCCTTTCCTCCAACACAAAATGCAGAGGGCAGTTTTAATCCTGCTCCTCGGCGTTCAACTCGCCTCTGCCCAAATCGACGCGTTCGGCGGCCCCAATCGCTACGCCGCCAAGCCCACCATCACGCCAGACATCCAAAAGTACTTTGAGTTGGATGGACATGCTCGCGAACTGGTTGACACGCTAATTGGCCCCCGTCCCGGCGGTTTCTTCCCCGAAAAGACTTACGAAGTTGCGCGACCATCTTACGGCGGTGGACCAGCTGGACCACAGGATGGGTTGACTCAAATTGGCAATGCCTTGAGCAACTTCTTCAACGGTCCACCTGCCCCACAAGGCGCTGGAGATTTGCAACTTCCACCTGGCTTCAACCAAGGCTTCTCGTTGAACAACGGAGGAAAACCAGCTTTGAGTTCGTTCCAAGAAAATGGAAAGATTTCGGTAAGAATGACACATTGAATAACATACATATACCCAATTTTGCTTATGTAAAAATGAGAAAAGAAATTATTTTTTTTAAATTTAATTTCAAACCTTTAGCACGCCCCAGTAGAACAACGTGCCTCTGAAATCCAACGTGCTCCGTCAAAGTCCTCCATCTCCGGAATCCCTTCCGACTACCCCAAGTTGCCAAAGTTTCCATACGCCAACAACTTTGACCCCAACGGAGCCGGACCGTCCGTCCTTAAAGCCGCGCCAGAAATTCCAAAGTTCGCGAGTCGTCCAGAGGTTCCAGAAGGCGGATTCGGAGCCATGAGTGATCTTCGTCGCTACCCATCTTCAGTTTCAGAAGCTGCCCAAAAGCCATTGAGCTCGTCGGCCACCAACGGAGAATACAGTGAAGACACGTTGACCGATGAGCCACGTCAAGCCGGTGGTTTGATTGGTACCATCATGGACCTGTTTGCCATGAGCAAGGACAAAGAGAACCCACCAGACTTGAGCAACGTTGCCAAGGGTGTGGGTAACTTGTTGACTGGTCAAAACTCGCCTCTGCCAGGAAAGAACATCGTGAACAATGTGTTGTACAAAGCTTTGACTCAAAACTCAGTTGACTCCAACTCGACCTACGGTCTTCCAAAATTCGACTTTGATTCAAGCACTCCAATCACTCTGACCGAAGCTCAACAAAAAGCTATCTCCGAAAACTTGGAAATGGTTGAGGGTCTGATTGTTCAACCTTCTTCTCCTTTGTGTAACCCAAAACCTTCGCCTGTAGCTGAGTTGAGCATTGATGCTTTCATGGGAACTTGGTATCAAGTTGTGTACAGTCCACCATTGTCCTCAACTCCATGCAGTATGGTTACCTACAAAAAGATGAGTGAAGTAAACCCACAGAACGGAGGTATCGGCAGTTTGTTCGAAGTGTTTGAATACAAGACTGGAGGAGCACCATACAGCAAGCCTACCATCACCAGTGGATTCGCCATCTTGAAGGAGATTGGAGAACTTATCTTCAGGACTACTGCCAACAAGGAGGATGTTACAGGTAGGCATTGCTTTTTCTCTTGGAGTTATTTTTTTCATGTTGTGTTTTACATTTCAAAACTAAGGTTATTTTTTCAAATAAAAAAAAAACTAAAAAACTGTTTTAAATAACGTCATCTTCAGTTTATATTATCCACAACGGCCCAATCAACGAAGACGGCAAATACGAATACATTGTAATGTCGACAAACTGTAACTATCCACTTTACGTGTTTGCTCGTGATCCTGTTGCTTACAGACAAGTAAGTGCAGCTTTTTAAGGTTATCTAGCAAAGCAAAACGAGCAGTTTCCAAAACAGTAGAGTTGTAATTTTTAGTTTCAACCTAAATACCTAAAAATACAAGAAAAGCATGGTAAAGCAACCAAAATACGATAATTTGTAATAAGATAGAATAGTAAAAACTTACAAATTTTTGAAAGAACAACCTAATATGTCTAAACGATGTAGCATTCTAACATAGAGTTTGTGCGTAGAACAAAATCAGACAAAAAATGGTTCAAAAACTTCTTGACGCAAAGAGTTGCAGAATGCCAAGATATGTTTTCGTATCAAGATAAACTTTAATGTTTATGCGTATATCAAATCTTAAATTCTTAAAACTATATCTTTATTTCTTTCATTTTTATCGGCTCTACACCCACTTACATTGCTAAACTTTTCAGAAGTACGAAAAGCAGGTATTGACGTATCTGGAGAAACGCGGAATCATCAGCGGCTTCTCGAAGCTCTTCAACACGGTCGCACCGGTCGATGCGAGCACCTGTACATTCCCTCCAAACCTCTTCAATTCTCAAGTGTAAAGTTTACATGACCTGAATACCGTTACACTGTAAATACCTGTTTTTTTTTCTTCTGTTTTGATTGCCATCTTAAATCAAGATACTAGTTCTCTTCAACTTATTGTAATGGTATATTATTTTTTTCAAGATTTATTTTGTTTATTCTTCTATGTTATGTTCTTTATACTCTTTATTTATGTCTAACACACCACGAGCAACATTATGTTGCCTACACCAACTGAATCGACGAAATTTCAAAATTGACATTTTGTTGCGTTCAGTTCAGCCGGTTTTTGCAATATTTACTGTTTTATGGCTAGAAATAGCTTCATAGGACTGTAGCCGCTTTGTTAATATCTTAGTAATTTTTTCTATTTTAAATTTTTGTTTTTTAAGCCTATTGTAGCCTACTGTAACAAGCCTATTTTAGCCTACTGTAACAAGCCTATTGTAGCATATTGTAACCAGTCAAACACTGCCGTCTCATTGCCCATTTCGACCATTCCAAACGTCTTTCAAACTATCTTTAGCACACAATATCAACCTAATAATATACTTAGCATCTTTTTTCATAACTTTTTCATACCTTTTCCATAACATAAAGCATTTTTTTTTAACTTTCAATTCGAAAAAGAATAATTTGTAATAGAAATTTATTCGTCTATATCTGTTATGACATTAATAAATCTGTTATATAAACGATTAAAGTATAATATGACCAAAACAACCGAGTATGTGTATATGTAAGGCGCACTTTTTAATATTGTAGAAAAGACTTGAATAAAATACGTAATTTTAATATAAAATACGATGTCGGAAACCTAAAAAATAGTCGTTTTGCTTAGTACCTCAATATTCATTTTGCTTAATAATACTTAACCAATATACTGAAACTTAAACCTTGAGTATGTTGTATGTTTCTTTGAGTACGAGTATGTCTAAAACAAAAAAACTTTGAAAATTTGTACTAAAACTCCAAAAATTTACCAACTAACCTAGTCGTAATATAATGCTTCAACCAGAAAACGATATCCCCTGTAGACGACATGAAGAAGATAGTAACACAAATAAGCGAACAATAACAAGATCCCACCCATAACCAGCATGAACGTCGCGGAAAGCTGCTTCATGAACTTGTAGACGTGACGATCACGACGAAATTGTTTTGGCAGTCCCCACATCATCGTATACACACTCAGGAATATCACGGCGATGGCTGATAAGAGCAGCATGGAGAAGATCAAGCCCTGAAGGGATAAATATGCATTATTAGTCGAAACAAGCAATCTATTTGGTTGTCCAAATAATTATGTGCTCTCTCACCCGAAAAAAATGTGCTTTGGAAAGGGGCTCAAAATTATTTGAACAATCTAATATTCGGATATTAAGTACTATTAAGTTGTTCAAATAATTGTGTGCCCTTTAACTCTAAAGAAATCACTTTAAAGAGAGCTCAGAATTATTTGAACAACCTAATATTTAGCTATAGAGTATTATTCAAGTTTGTGTTCTAAAGCCACTTACGTGCATGATAATATGTGGCCAATACAAGGCAGGGAAGTTCTTCCTGTTGCCAATCAGTAGAAATATTGGTGGCAGAGCTGTGACTACAGGTAATGTCATCGTAACATATTCCCAACGTGACGTGCTTACAAATGGTATTAAAAACAAAATCCACTGGAGACAAAACAGAAGCGATATTACAAAAGTACCCATCTAAAATAAAAAGGTAAAAAATATTATGAACCATAAGACAAGAAAACGTTTTTCGGTCAAGAAGTACATAGAAGTAACCATAAGTAAAAGTAAAATCAGATTCATAAACGAATGATCATTATGTCATCTACTATAATATACAAAATTTAAAAAAAATTAAAAAATGACACTCACATGAACATGCATGCCACAACAGCACCTGTAGTACTCATCTTCTCCCAAATGTGATGGTAGCATTGAGTCTCGATGTTTCACTTCAAACTCGATACTGGCTGTAGAACATGATCTTCGTTTTGCTTCCAACATGATTATACCTACGGCCCAAGCTGCAAAAAATAAATAACTTAAAACACATTATTTGGTAACTGCACACTGCCATTTAAATACCACGTTACAGTAAAACTACATTACAAGCTTTACCATTATAAAATGAAAAACAAAAGATAAAAGTTATGTGTATATGAAACAAAAGTAAATTATTGTTTACTGATTGTCAAAGTCAAGAAAAATCAATCGTACTTTGTTTTTTACTTCAAGTACATATCCATAACACAAAAAACGTCATAAACAATATATAGCAGATTGAAAGAAACTCTCTATTTCACAATTACTTTATGTTGTTCTAATAATCATGTACCCCTCTCAAAGCAAATTTTTAAAGTTATGGGCACAAAATTATTGAAAAACCTAATATTTAAGATAAAACAAAAATAAAAGTAAATTTTTCGTAATTTTTTTACGAAAAACGTCATTTAAGGTTTAAAAATAAGTCATAAAAACACTTTAATGCCATTGTAAAATTAAAAAATTTGTTTTGAATGAAAAACGATCGCCAAAGCCATCATTATTTGTTATAAACACCAATCACATTCGGCACACTTGACTTTTGGTTTTTCATCTTTTATTAGGTTTAATATCAAAAGAAAAATTTTCTTGACCAATTTAAAAAAATGAAAATGGGCTGGGTCTGAACTTTAGACTCCGGGCTTAAGCCGAGCCTCTAAAGTGGACTGGTTCGGCCCGTTTCTAATCCGTACTTTTAAACTTATATAGTGGAACTCCTGTATAACAAATCGCTCGGAAACTTGAAATTTATTCGTTATAAAGGAGTTTCGTTATACAGAAGCTTCACTGTAACACTTTGATTTAAAAAACATTGTTATAAGCAACACAGTAAGTATAAAAATGTAAAAATGAAGTTAAAACAAAAAATAAAAAAATTTTAAATTTTTAAAAACTTCAAAATGTAATAAGTGTTACTTTAGACAAAAAACAACTAACAATATCTCAAATTTGTTATCGTTATAGCGACGTTTTACATCAAATTTGGAAGCCTAGATTGGAAAAACAAAAATTAATCAATCTTGAGCTTTCAACTAGGGGTGAGAAACGGGCCGGGCCCACTTTCAGGCCCGGTTTAAGCGGCCTAACGTTTAGGCTTGGCCTGTTCTCATTTTTTCATTGGCCATCCCTGCAGACTCAAAAAAATCGTGTAAACTTTTTGGGCTTGCACCTAATTTTTATGTCTGGCCTGCGGACCTGACTTAAATTTTAAGCCCGGCCGGTTTCAACTGTAGCTCAAGGCCAGCCTGGCCCTTTCTAAAATAAACAACAACAGTAACATCAAAGTTAAAACTAATTTTTTTAATTTAAAAGTCCAAAAATGTCATTATTTTTTGACTGCTACAGTAATATTAAAAAAGTTTTAAAAATTTCCAAATTATTTTTAAAAAATTTTAAACCTTTTTTCCAAAAAACGCCTACAATTAACACCGAATCGACGTCATAAAAGCAACTTTAATATAAAGTTATAAAAAGTAGTCCCGACCAGTCCCTCGACCTCATTGAAATCCATTCGACCGACCTCCAAACTCATTGAAAACGCCCCGCGACCTGAGGGCCCAAAAAAACGATTAATCTTTTTTTTTTTCAAGGAATTCCGCCCGCTGTTTTGGCGCCGGGCCCTTAAATATGCGGTGTTTTTTTGGTCCCAAGATCTCCGCTAAATCAAATTCGAATCAACGTTTACATCATAACAAGGGGCTTTGGCTAGACAAACAATCGGCCAATGGTGGAAGACTATAAATGACTATTAAGACGAAGTATGTCAATAAGAATGTCATAAAATTAAAATTTATAGCTTTTTTGGTCAACAGTTATACAAAACAAAATGTAAAAGCACTAGCAAATCAAACTTTCGTATTTTCAGCAAATGAAAATGTAAACCACTTTATTAACCAAGTCTAGATCTTACCAGCTAAAAATTTCCTTGAATACAAACAATTTTAAACTTTAAAAGTTATCGAAATTTGTCTAAAAAATACCATAACAATCATGTTTACCGATTAGACCATTCACATTTACTAATCAGATCATTTACCTTTAAAAATATCATCGCTGCCTAATTTTAACATATTCATCGTATAAAATGTCGCTCGCAGTCTGCAGGAAGCTCAAGCGCAGCTGAAGAAAAGAAATTATTTTCGAGGAATTTTCTGATCAAGCTTTTTGTAGTTATTGCCTCATTATGTTGTTGTTGGTGAATATGTTAGGCTAAAATAGCTTTCTAAAATTTTTTCATGGACGTATTGATCTTTTTATTGCAAATTCTGAGCTTATTGGTGTTTTTTTTGTCTATTTTAACGAGTTTTGACTTTTTGAAAATACCTAAAGTTAGTATTACTTGTTTTTTAGAGGTTTTTAGTTTTAAAATAAATTTATAGTTTTTCGTTTATATTTTTAAACTTTGCTTAATATTTTTAATATAATATATACTTTTACAGCTTTTTAAATGGGAACTTGTTGATCTACTGAATGCATCGTTCTCTTCTTACCTCTTTAACTTGTACACGGTTCATAAATCTTGCTTTACCATCAGCAAACGGAAAGTGTTTGACAAGATTATTGTCGATAACACCTGTGAATTTGAGGGAAACGGACGAAGAGTTGATAGCAAACTTGTCGAAACAGGTGTACGAGTACAAGAAAGAGCTGAGAAAGTTGGTTTACGGACATCCCAAGTCAAGATTGTTGAAGAGGAACATTGCCAATTTACAGGACACAATTTCAAGCAGGCAGCAACCGAAGAGTAACGAAATCTTTGATCTGTTTAAAAGCATGTCAAGCTTGCGGCCTACTGTTATTTCACTGGAGGTAAGGGTTTTTGTTGATTTTTTTTTGGTTTAGGTTAGTGCGACGACAAAGTTAATTTGCCATTAGTTGAAACAAAAGCTGGGGTTTATAGTATATTTAAAAATTTTTAAAAAGAGCGTTGTATTTACGCTGACTGTTTGAAAAACAAGTTGAGTTTTACCTTTTTATCCGACTTTTAACAAAAAAATTAAATTTTTCTCAATTTTAAACATTTGTTTTAGATTTTAAGCAATGGCACGTCTCAAATGGCTCCCTCAGTCATCATCCGAACTCAACTAGAATGCTACATGTTCAACGTTCCAGAGGGTACATCACGTTTCATCTCTGCACTACATCTGGGGCCAAACAAGCTGCACGATCTGTTTGTAACTCGAGGTGTTTGGGATTGTATGGGTGGAATTGGAGGGTTGTTGATGACAAAGGATGCTCAAGATAAGCAAGAAGTTAGATTGCATGGTCCAAGGAACGTTAAGGAGTATTTGACAACGATACGACCGTTTATGGACAGTGACTACGGTAACGCTCAGTTTCCTTGTACGGTAGAAGAGAGGACGTTTGAGAATGTGAAACATGAAGACAATTCTTTGGTTGTGTATTATATTCCACTGTTTTCTATGTCTGATAACACTGAGGTTAACAGTTTGGAAACAAAGTTTGCTCATACTGCTTATTTGGTGGAAATGAAGGTAGGTGTAGTTTTAATGGCTTTTTCGGGATTTTAAAGGATATCTGGGTATTGTTTTGAATCAATAATGTAATTTTAAGCTTTTTTTAAAGTTATAATCATTAATTTCAGCCAAAAGAACGCGCTATAGATGCTTTTAAATTGATAAGTAAAAAGGTACCAAAAGGACCATTAATTGGCCAGTTGAAAGCGGGAAAAGCTGTGACATTACCGAATGGTGATGTTGTTCAACCTGAAGAAGTTTTAATGGATGAAACTGACGACTTTGCAAATTCTGTTTTAATTGTCGATATTGATCATGTGGACAAGATACGATCAGTTGCCACTAATACACATCTACGGGCAAGTGTTTTTTATTAGTATTTGGGGGAGGGGTTCTACACTTTTGAGCTACCTATCAATAACTTTTGCAGGTTTTTAGGTAATATTTTATTAAATTATGTGTTTTATAGGTATTACCACCAGAAATCTTTGAAAATTCTTTTTTTTAACATTTTTTTTTCTATTTTTTAAATTTCAGGCATACGTCGACTCTAACAGTACCAAAAAGCTCGGATACCTAGTCCATTTCACCCCGGAACACGTTGTAAACACTCCAGAATACCAAGAATTCATCAATTTATTTGGCCTATCTTGTCTCAACATTATTGTTAACGGTTCAGGTGAAGCGGTACCAATGACAGACGGGCCATATAATAACCAACGCATGTTGAACACTTTAGACCAATCCGTGTTTCCATTGTTATATCCAAATATAACAGGAAATGTTCAACAGAAGTTGATAGCGCCTCAGGAAAATACGAATATTTTAAGGCCAAAGACTTACCAGAAGTATCCAATTAGGGGGAACGCTTGTTCTCAAGACAGTAGTTTTGCTATTGGGGATGAAGAGCTTGAAGAAAGACGGGCTTTCTGTCCAGAATTGAAGGAGAAGATGGAAGAATTTAAAGAAAGTAAGGATTTTAGAGTAATATCGAGCTATTTTGATCAATATTAGATAAAAAACCTCTTCTTTATCATGAGATAAGGCAATAACATTACCTTTTTTTATAAAATCAATTTTATTTTAGCCACAGCAACCCTCACCAACTCATCAGAACCCCAATTTCCATCCGTATCGTTCTTAGGAACATCTTCAGCATGTCCAACAAAGTACCGCAATGTAAGTGGCTATCTTCTTCGACTGTCAGACAAATCAGCGGCTTTTGTGGATGTTGGAGAAGGAAGTTATGGCCAAATGAAGGTATTATATGGGCCGGAGAAAACGGAAGATATCCTGATTAGTTTGAATGCCATTTTTATTACACATGGGCATCTGGATCATATCAATGGAATGTTCATGGTTATTGAAAAGAGAATCGAGGCTTTTCAAAAAAGAGGTAAGGGGTTTTGGTTTTTGAATTATCGTTTGTTGTGTTAGGTTGCTTTTACTTTAACTTTTATGCAAATTTTTTCTTATTATATCTTTTATCCATATTTTTTCCCTAAAATTGCAAAAAAATTAATAAAAGGCTTTAAAATGCAGTTTTTTAAACGTTTTTAAAAAAAAATAATTTATTTTGATTCATATTTTTGTAGGCTTACTATACAAACCTCTAATCATCGTATGTAATCAAGTTGTACGACGCCCATTCTCATTATACTCTCAGAACTTTGTGAAGCTAGAGAAAATGGTTAAGTGGATTGATACGACAGTCCTCAGTCGACCATTAACTCCAGAAAAGTAGGTTCATGATCTTTAAAGGTCAATGAAATTTTAAATTGAAAACTTTGAAAAAAAATCAAAAAATTTTTTAAAAATTTGAGGCTGTCAGATGAAACTTACTGAAAAAATTTCTAATTTTGAATCTTCAGAGACCGAGCCCTGTCCCAAAACAAACGCCCCCTCCGCTTACCAGATAAACTGTGGATCGAAACAGTAACTGCCTTCCCAGGGGAACTCTTCAATCCAGAAGAATGGAATCTGAAATCAGCAAAAGCTGTCTTTGTCCATCACACCAGAATGGCATCAGGATTTGTATTTGAAACAGTTTGTGGCAAGAAGTTGGTCTTCTCCGGTGACACGAAACCGTGCAAGAACCTGGCAGTTCAAGGTTCAAATGCAGATCTTCTGATTCACGAAGCCACTTTTGAAGATGCCTATGCCAGAGATGCAGAGAGGAAAAGACACAGTACTACAGGTCAAGCAATATCTATCGGGAAAGAAATGAACGCAAAACATGTCATTTTGTCACATTTCTCCGCCAGATACCCGAGGTGTATGGTGCTGAGTGATGAGTTGATCGAAAGTGGTAACACAGCTATGGCTACTGACTTTATGGTGGCGGATTGGAATAAATTAAAGGTAAAATACGGAAAAAAAACTATATTGTAAACAATGCTTGTAAAAAAAATAAATAATTTAGGCCTACAGATAAAAAACGTAATGAAAGAAAATGATTTTAGGTAATCGACAAGCTAGCCCCAGTGTACAAACTGATGTTCGAAAGAGAATTGAAAGACCTCGAACTAAAGGAATGTCAAAAACGTTTGAAAATAAAAGAAGAACAGGAAAAGAAGACCAGAAAGAGTCCAGACAATCCCACAGAAGCTCCAGAAGAAAAGAGGACCAAAGCTGTGGCATAGAGCATTGAAAGTTGTTGTTGTACTAGGCTGTTTTAGAACGTTCTTCGGGTGATTTTTGACGTATTTTTCAATTTTTTATTTGTGCGGTCAAGAAGTAGGCAGAAAAATTGTGATTTTTGAGAAAAGTCTTTTGATATGGTCGGAAAACTTTTGGAGAACAGTTTGGTTTAGTTTTTGTTATAATTATTGTTATCCGTTTCTTGTTTTTGATAAAATATTTTTATTTTATTTCGAAGTTTTTACTTTGTTTTCGTTTGAAGGATTGGTATGGAAAATCTAATAACGACGTATTTTAACTGATCAAAAAATACAGCACTTACAAAGGCTTATAATATTACTCGACCGGTCTTCTATACCTACATTTTTGATACAAAACGTCCGTTTCGTATACAAAACTTCACTTTAGGGACAAACCTTCAAATACTAACCGAAGAATCGAAAAGAAAATGAAATTTTGCATAAATCGACCGATTTTCTCGCAGTTTTAGGTACAAAACGGTAACAAACTCGTGGGCTTCTCATTTCCATCGTGATTGAAAGAAAGCGGTCGGGTTTTGGCTGTGGAGTGGAAATACGATGCCGCTCGATGTTGTGAATTATACGATGTGTAAGTGTGCTTTTTGGTGCTATTTTTATTATTGTACTTGCCTGTAGGGTCTTTTTAGTTAATTTTTAATAAAAATCCTTTAGTTCTTTGCTCCAAAAATGGTTTTAAGGGGATTTTAGTGAAATTAGTGCATACTTTCTGTAAATTAAGATTAGGCATGGGTTCTTTGTTATCTTTCGACCACAATTTTAAAAATTTGAACCAGATATGAAAAGTTTGGCACTTTTCAGCAAAACTTTTCAACTTTTCCCTAACTTTAAAAGTTTTGTCGCAATTTCTTGCTCTTTAAAACTTTTAAAATTTCAGTCGAGACACTTCGAGTTCTGAGCTTGGTCGCCGTTAACATTGGCCTGATCGCAGCGGTATGGTTGAACTGCGGCGGCAAAAAGAAACCCGCCGCACCGCCTCCCGGCAAAGGCGGTAAGGACAAATCGCAAGTCGCACCCGTTTCGAACGCCAAACCGGCTGGAGATGTAAGTTCAAATGTCATATATGAAAAGATTGAAGATTTTGGGACTTAAAAAAATTTTAATTTAAAAAAAATGAAAATCAATAAAAAATGGCACAACAATCAAATTTTAGGTAAAAAATGCCATTCTTTTTGCATTGTTTTTTAAAACTGCTAAAAAAAGGTTTAAAATGAAGATTAGGTCACACGCGCCATTCTTTTTGCATCAAATTAAAAAAAATGCAAAAAAGAAGATTTAAAATGAAAGTTAGGTATGTGCCATTCTTTCTGCATCAGCAAGCTTTGAAACTGAAAAATTTGGAATTTTGCAGCCCAAGAAGGAAGGTTCGACGAAGGAACCCAAGCCTGAGGAGAAGAAGGACGGCAAGGGAGAGAGTAAGAAGAGTCAGGTCAAAGAGACGAGTAAGAAAGAGTCCAAGGTCGAGGAGAAGAAGGAAGAGAAGAATGAGGAGAAGAAGGAGGAGGGCAAAGAGGAAAAGGTAATTTTTGAGTTTAAATTTGAAGTTTATAGTTAAAATTTTCATAATTTAAATTTTTTTTACAATTTGAAATGAAAATGTTAAGATATTGAAGTACGTAGTGTAATATTAAGACACTGAAGTAGATAGTGTAATATAAAATATTCCAGAAAGAGGAAGACAAGAAAGAAGAAGGTGGGGAGAAGAGTAAGGTCAAGACAGACAAGAAAGCCGATAAAAAGGATGAGAAAGAGGAGGAGAAGGACAAGAAGGATGGCGAGAAGCTGGTACCCGTCAAGAAACAGCTCGGCAAGAAGGAACAGGAAATCGTGCAGGGAGCGAAACGGAAAAAGGGAGACTATCCTACTGTAAGTTTTTTTTAATTTTCATATATGCGTTGCTGTTTTTTTTGGTTTGGTACATGTAGGTACATATGTACTGTAGAGTACGGTATGGATACAGTAGTTTATAATATAAAAGGGAAGACGATGGGTTGAGCAGAAAAGGGTATGGTAGGGCTTGGGCATGGTTTGTTAAGGTAAGGTAAAGTAAAGTAAGGTAAGGTATAATAAGTAAACGTCAGCTTTGGACATTTTAGTATAAGTAGGGTATGGTAGAGTAGTATAGGGTTTGTTAGGACAAGTTGGGGGAAAGTAAGATAAAGTAACTATAAAAATTTGTGAGTAAAATTAGACCACTATAAACTAAAATGAGGTTTCTTTGTAGATGGACGACGTGCTATCCGACTGGGACTCGAAGAAGGAAGGCGACAAGAAGACCAAGAGCAAAGACAACACGAATCTCGAATCGAAAGAGAACGAGGACGAGAAGAAGGACGACGACAAGAAGGAATAACCACCCCCACTCTGGCACTGCTTTCTACTGTAGAAATAAAATTCACTCTGAGCTCGATTTTATTTTATGGTTGAATGAAACTGAAGTTTGGACTAGCTTTTTAAGTTTTGAAAACTTTTAAATTGTCAATATTTTGAAGTTCAGAAGCTGAAGATTGACTAACCTGCCACGCTATGATTGACTTCAAACTTTATGTAGAAAGGTCATGTATAAGATTCTCAACAAAGTAAAAAACGCGCTTTTCAGGAAATCTCGAGAAAATCGAGCTCAAAAAATTACGTTTTGAATTTTCCGCCAACTTGGCATTGTGTTTCAGGCTTATAACTTTGTCGTTTTTTGACTTTTGGTTATTTTTCTTTGATATGCTAGTCGAAAACTTTTCAATGAACCTGCACGTTTAGATTTGTAAGCTTAGCTTGTTGGAAAAAGCAAAAAAAAGGCTTGAAACACAATGCCAAATTTGCGGAGAATTCAAATATTTTAATTCAAAAGCACGAGTTAAAATTTTTATGGGTACTATTGGTGGTACAAGGAACTCATATAAAAACGTTGAGCTGATTTTAAGTGGGACAGGTAGGCTACTTTTTTTTAGAATCTAACAACTTCCTTTGACGTTAAGCTTGTTATATGAAAAGGCATTCATTTGGCTTTTAAAAGCAAAAGAGTTATAAGACTGACTAGATATACACAAAATACGATGATGATATACAGCCAAAGTTTACATTTCGTACTGTGCAATATAACTCAATAAACTTTAAGATTGTATTACATCTTTTAAATGTGATTAGAAGTAAGGTTTACATTGTAATTTAACTAAATTCAGTTAGTAGACCAATAAACTACTGTTTACCTTGTGATATATTTTATTGTATTACATTATAACGGCTAGGGATGACTTAGTTTTAGCATTTTATTTTTCGAACACTATTATAGTACTATATAATACTACTTTAAAATATTTTTTACTACGAGGAATTGTACGTTATTTGAACATAGTACAGGGCTAATCATACGATTTTAAAATACATCACTATATACCGTCTTTACATTACTTTATAATGAATCCAGACGCCTACAGTACCATCCTACAACTACTAAGTGTTCTATCAGTACTACTGCCTATGCTAGTGATATACCTTTTACTATTTGAGTCTCCAAACAGTATGAAAGAGTATGTACCATTTGTGCTCAACTCCACTATACCAGACCTACTATTGGCTTTAGAACTGGGTATCTTTGCTCATCCTGATCCTTTGTTTCCGTATCCAGCAGCTTATGTTAACGGGTTGTTGAAGTATCTTGGGCCTGTTGGTGGAGAGGTATCTGTAAGTACTATTTATGTATCTGTATATGTATATGTATGCTATTATAGATGACATTAATGTTCAACACGGTAGCCTTTGCCCTATCAGCCCAATGTTATTGTATCATATATCGTTACGCTATGTTGATGGATGATTCTTGGTTTTTTAAGAAAATTGTGAAAAAGTCCTCATGGTGTATTGTACTAGCCGGAAAAGCCTGTGCAAGTATCGGGGTTGGAGCTCTTATCCACACACTATCTTTGGAAGGAGATGTGAGTTTATATTCTTAAGATATAGTAGAGTAAACGTTTGATATAGTCAGTAGAAGTCATGTTTACACACGCGTTACTATACCTAAAATAGCCCTATTACGTCTGTCTACATAGACGCTTTTGCTTACATACGTCTACTATAATCTCTAAGACTCTTTGAAACCACCCATACATTATTCATTACTCAGTAAATAATAAAATCACCTTGCAGGAAGTTCTACAAGACATGACAACCTTACAGTCAGAACTCAAAGTTTATTACCCAAATTTAGAAATACCAAAGATAAGTGATCATGTGTTAATATACACCAAAGAGTCGATGGATGTGGTCACAATTACAGTACTCTGCATTATCTTTGTTGGCTTTTTCATAGCCGAAATGATATCGATCGCTTGTATATATTACATTTTGAAAAAACTAGAAGCAAAAAGGAAGAAATTTACAGAAACTACTTATCGACTGCATCGACAGTTGACTACTGTTTTGGCTTTTCAGGTTCGTTTTGATACAAATATGGCAAAGTTATAAGCTTCAATTTTTTTTACATATGATGGATAAAAAATGATGACTGATAAGCTTTGGCTATAGACAATACAAAAGACTAAAGTCACTTTTGAAAGAACTTTTAATCTGAACATAGATATGTAAAGGGACTAACTTTTTGTTCAATTTTCTGGCTAAATCTACAAACCGGGCTTTGGTTTAAGCCGTAGCTTTCTGTCCCACGTGTGCTGGCCCACCCCATTGGCTTTTTTAAACGTTGCTTTGGCCCGGCCCTTTATATTAGTCTTTCCCGGAAAGAATGTCCCTCTGCACAGTGCAGTCTTTGAGAAAATTTTTATTCCGCTGCACCGTGCAGATTTCCCCGCGATCGCTTGCAACGCCAAGCGATGTTGGAAAGACTGCACTGTGCAAGCCCTCAATTGTCTTTTCGGGAAAGATTGATATTACCCCTTTTTGTTGAATTTTATCGTTCCCATACCCATGGGAATGCGGATACCCTCTGGCATTTATTTTTGCCGGGTTTTATTTGTTTCAACGTGCCAGTAGTCCAGTGGTTAGGACGCTGCCCTCCCAAGGCAGAGGCCCGAGTTCGAATCCCGGTTGGCGCAAACTTTTTGTATCGTCAGAAATTTGCATATTTTAAAAATTTAAAAATATTTTTATGGTTTTTCAATGTAAAACTTAAAAACGAGATCCAGAGTTTAACAAAAGCAAAGTTTTGTTTTGCCACAAGTTTGCAAACTTTACATAAATCTACCTTACAGTGCAGGCCATCAAGGGGGTCTCCGAAGCCTAATGTTTCGGCTGTTTCCACAGGCCGAGCATTGATTTGGGCCCCGGTTCTTTTATATGTGCAGATCCAGCCCGGCCCTTTTTAAATCAGCTCCGGTCTACCTTTTTATACATGTCAGGCTTGTACAATTAAGCCTAGCCCGGCTTTTTTCAGACTTTTTTTTGAGTTTTCTTTCAGGCCAAAACAGGTGAGAGAAAAACCCAAAAATATTTTTAACTTAAAAATAAGTGCTATTACTTTTTAAATTTAAATTCACATCCTAGCTTCACCTTTCGTATTAGTACGATACTTCAAAGAACTCAAACAACTTTAACTCGTGACAAAGATTAAACGAAAAAACTATGTGTAGGATTATAATGTCATAAATATTATAGTATTTGATACGGAAAACCAAAAATGCCGTAAATTATCAGGTGTTTTCAAAAAATTTCAAAATTTTAAATGACAAATATTAATTTCAGCAAAAAAAACGATAAATAAGGCAAATAAAGATTAAATAATTGTAAGCCAATATTTTAGCTCTGCACCCCAATTCTCTTCATAATGTGTCCAATAGCCATTCCCTTACTCTGTCAACTGTTTCACACAAACTTCAACACTAATCTGGGTCGATTTGCAATTGTATGCTTGGACCTTTATGGTGCAGTAAACTCTTTAATCACTATTTATTTTGTTCGACCATATCGTATGTTTGTGCATCAGAAAATATGGCAGATGATATCTTTTGTATCTTGTGGCAGATATCAAAAGAAGTTAGTGGTAATGAAACAAGAATTGACCAGTCGATCATTGTACAGGAACAGTAAAGATAGAAGACGTGCTATGTCATTGAGTCCTGCTCATCTTCAGCAAAAAATATTTGTTTTTTAAATTTTGTGGTGTATTTGGTATATAAATTGTCATAAGGTTGTTGTATGTTCAGTAAATAATAAAAAACATACCGTATAATATCGAGAAACGTTGTGATGAGGTGCTTCTAAACACTCATAATTGTCGTGGAAAGCCTGTGTATAATAAGTAACCGACATACCATAGTGTCCATGCACTTAGCTTTACCCATGTGGGTTGTATAATGTTACTTTACTACTCTATGTGGACATATGTATAACTCACCTATGTTCTCTATGTAGACAAATGTACCTAGAATAAACCTACTAGTCCGGCTTGTCATGACATTTCTTGTTTGTTATTTAACAAAACTGTAATTTAATGTAAAACATTTCACTTCTGTTTGCCAGGTGCAATGCGTACCAGTGTTTCATAAACTCGAACTATGTATAAGACTTTTTATATGGCTTTTGTATGTTCTATTACAATATAGTGTGATTTAAACGTAGTACTACTAGAGAAACGAAAACCCTTTAAGTTCAATAAATCACCGTTCCATACTACTACTTAAAGGTTCTCATAATATTGTGAACCACCTATATGTAATACTACATATTTATAGTTTTATATTGTTATTTATATTTATTTTTTTACCTTTTTACGTTTGATTTTTTAATCAATACAAAATGTACGGTATTCTACAAAGTTTAATATGTTTATCATCAATGGCTGTTTCGTCGCTACTAATATTTATTGTCATATATCACTCTCCCAAAAACATGGGGAAATATAAAAGGTTTATCATCAATTTTACTGTAAGTAACTATGAAAAAAGTGCCTAAAACTTATCAATAAATAAAAAAAAATAAAGTCAATAAAAAATAGCATTTTTTTCAAACTATCATGTTATTTTTATTATATATGATATGATAAGTACAAGATATGGTTTATAGTGCCTGAAACTTAAAAGTAAAGCTTCTGTTCTTGAAGATAGGAATACTTACAAAGATGATTTTTTGCATACTCAAAGTTGACGGTATTTCATGCAAATTTTCAAAATTCCAACATTTTATTTTGTATTTTACGAGCTACAGAAACTATTTAAATTTTAGACAAGAAATAGAGATTTCTCTTTGTTTTAAGCCGTATTTCAAAAAATTATTTTAGGCAACTGCCACAAATTATAATATATATTTCAATAAGAAATAATAAATTGACGATAAATGTCTTATATACTGACATTTTTCAGATATGCGACCTTGTGATGTCGTTTTTAGTAGGAGTAATCGTACGGCCTGACCCTATATTTCCGTTTGATGGAGTTATTGTTAGTGGAATTGTAGAAGGTCTGGGTGATATTGGTGGGGCTGTTTCTGTAAGTAATATTAGTCAAAAGCTTTAATTTTACTTTTGGTTTATTACAAAAAAATTGAAAAATTAATTAAAAAATTTTTTAAATAAAAAAAGTATTTTTTTTCAGTTTTCAATCCTGCTCAACGGCTTAGCGTACTGTTTATCAGCTCAATGTGCTTGTATTTTGTATCGACTGTCAGTTATATTGGAAGAGAACACTTTATACCGTTTTGTAGTCAGTTGGACGACGTGGTCGTTTGCTTACAGTGGTAATATCATATTTACCGTTGTTACAACTTATTTGTCACTCAATTTGCAAGTTAGTACAAGGGTAGGTAATTACATTGTAAGGGCTTTTTGTGCTATTTTATGAATACCTACATACGTAAAGATTCAAACTAATAGCTTTTTTAACTATAAAGATGGTTTAAAGACTATGGCATACATATCTGAAAATGTCAGTCATATACGTAGTTTGAATTCATTTTGAAGTGGCTGGTAATTTCAAATTTTTACAATGATATTAAGTTGTTCAAATAATTATGTGTCTCTAACTCCATAAATGTTTTCTTGAGAGCACAGAATTATTTGAAAGGCACAGAATTATTTGAACAAAAAAAATAATTATTTGTTTAAAATTGCCAGTTTTTGCCACAGTAACACAAAGAATTAACTGTAAATGATACGTCGAGAACTATAATACGATAATATTCAATTTACAAAACTATATTGTAGTGTTGCTTTTATTGCAAAACAATAAACAGGTTTTGTAACAAAACGTACAATTTATACTACAACAAAGTAAAGCACTACCCATTAATACTATTTCAAACAGTATATGCAATATTACAATTGAGAAACGTATACAGTTGAACCTTTGTTAAAACGAATCGCTCACAATGTCAGAGATTTTCAATTTGTTATTTTTAAAAGAGCTCCACCGTATTCATTTACAGTAGAACCTCTGTATAACGAACCTCTTCATAACGAACAAATTTTAATTCCCTTAGCGATTTGTTATACAGAGGTTTCATTGTACTTTATCCAAGCCTGTATGCAGTTACCTTCGATATACAGGTGTTTTAAATGCCCTGTGCAGCTTTGGCTAGAGATTTAAAAGTTGTTCGTTATACAGGAGTATATTAGAAAAGGTTATTTTATAAAACCGTTTTTTTTCAAGAAACAATCAAAGTATCAAACAATATTTCCAGGACCTACCATACTACCTAAACCAAACATTACAATACCACCCAACGGCTGTTGTCCCCGATTTAAGCGATAAGGTATATATTGTTATGAAACTTAGCGGCAACTTAGCAGCGACATTAACTGGCGCTATCATTGTTGTTGGGTTTATGATTGTTGAAGTGATATCATTTGGCTGCATCTGTCTAATATTTCGCCAAGTTGAAAAAAAGAAAACTGTGTTAACTAGAGCTACTTACAAAATGCATCGACAGCTCACTATTGCGTTGGGTGCTCAGGTACGGTAGCTTTTAAGATTCTTAAAAGTTGTTGAGTAAACAAATCAATTTAGTATATTAAAGATCCTTTTAGACATTAAAGTATAATATAAACAACACTATTAGGTTGTTCAAATAATTCTGTGCTCCTACTCCCTAAAGTTTGCTTTAAAAAAGGACACAGAATTATTTGAACAACCCTCTATATGTAATAAACATTCAGTAAACAATATTTAATACTTCCAGGTAGCAGGACCAATCATGTTCTTAATGGGACCAGTTTTATACATTATGGTTGGCCGTTATCAACACCTATACATTGGAAGTTTAAGTGGCCGCATTCTGTTATGTTTTTTAGATGCATATGGTGGTATCAGCTCCATTACAACACTCTATTTTATTCGACCATACAGAGAATTTTTGAAAAGAAGTTTGGGCTTTACTAAATCACTAAAAAGAAGACCGAGTTTTAAAACTGACGTTTGGCTAGTACGATCTATGTCACATACTTAAGAATTCAAAAAATTTTAATGCGTTTTTATTATAATAAAAAAATTACAACAGTTATGGTTCATGTTTTCTGGTTGGCAGCAAAAACTCAGGACCTTCCCCGCCCCTCAGAAAAAAATTATCGAAAAAAGTTGAACGTGGTCCCCCTTGTGAATTCTTGGAAAAAATTTTTTGCAAAAAATCGGCACACGAAAAAAAGAAGCTTTTGAGTTTTAAATTTGAAATGTTTGAATTTCGCGCCAATTTAGCAAATTTGGCATTGTGTTCCAAGCATTTTTTTGAAGTTCAGACAAGCTACATCATCTATATGTAAATTTAAAAATATAGGCCTATTTAAAAATTTTCTACTAGTATATCAACGAAAAATAATTAAAAGTTTATAAAATGACAAAGTTATAAGCTTGAAACGCAATGTCAGTTTGGCGGGAAATTCAAAACGTAGTTTTTTGATCTAGTTTGTCGAGATTGACTGGAAAGCACAGTTTAGTACCTTTCTCAACCACTTATATTGACATGATCTTTCTATACAACAATTTTTTAGTCAGTCAAGACGAGACAAGTCGGGCACTTTTTTTCGTATTTTCTTTGCTGGTTAGGTTTTTGAATAAATTTTTGAACTTTACATAAATTGGTAAGGAAATTATTGCAAAAATGTGACTTTTATAATTGGTAGCTTAAGTTTGTTTAATGATTCTGCCTATTATCCGTACATTATACATATTAGCTTTCAATATAATGTACAATGTAATGCAAATCATTTGTTCATTTACGCAGTTTCTACCGGTTGATCCTTTTTAAAACGAATGACTAAGCTTGTATTTAGCAGTATTACAACAATAACAATAATGCTAAATATCACAAACCATATAGCTTCTCGGTAAACAATTAATTACCGTAACAACGAATGGTGCAATGATATAATCTGTAGATGGCACAACTATGTGTTGTAATAACACATGTATCAGTTGTATTTTATGTTAGAATTCCGAAAATGATACATGTTTTCAAGTACCATTAGGAAGCATCAGCCTTCATTGTACTCTTTACGTTCACTACAATTACATTGAGCATAAATGTGAACATAGTATGATGGGCGGAACGCTTCTGATTAATAGTCCCTGTAATGTAGATATGCAGTTTTAATACAGTGCTTGCTCTTTAAAAGTGATATAGTTAATACAGCGTCATATGTCATACGGTTTTTGTTTTTGTCATAAGTTTTTTCTAATCTTAGTGGCATTATTCAAATTATTTATTAGGTTTTGTACAGAAATTTTGTATATTGTACTTAGTAACGTTTTGTAAATGGCTTTAAAATGACGTTTTTAAACTGTGATTTTTTAATTTACATTCTTCAAACGTCTACAATTACAATTCAAGAGATATTATATAGATTACATTTGTTGATGATTTGATGCTTCATATTGTAACGTACTATGCTGATCTGCAAGGATGTTTAAGGTTCAGGTAAAGACCATATGAGCTATTCTTGTGTCTGCCAGTTTCTATTATGTAACTGGGCTTCTCCTCATGTTATGGGCCCGCTATTTTCTATGATAAGTTCTTAGCTTAAGTTTTTCAGATGCTGAACATAATATACAACATTCTACTAACATGTACCAGTGTCATGTCTATGAGTATGTCCATATTGGTAATATTCATTGCTTTGAAAAGGTCACCTACTGGAATGCACACTTATACACCTTACATTGTTAATTTTACTGTAAGTGGAATTGTTTGTAACAAAACGTTTTGACTTCAAAAACGTGCAACATTAGTTTAAACCCTTTGTGTTAATTGTAGTTAACTAGAATATAAACTTTTTTGTAATCTGTTTGTGCTGACTAATCACTAGACGTACTTAACAAAGAATGATACGTCAAAAAAAGTGTTGTAAAACAAGTACTTTGTGCTAGAAAAAACTAATTTGCACATAGATTAGGCGTAATGCGGTTATTAAGAATACTGATTAGTTAAGTTATCCAAAACTGTCATTATTTTTTAAAATTAATTGGCTGAAGGTATTGTCTGTAAATCATCACCTTTACCAGTAAAAATCAGACTTTTCAAAAAATTTTAAAAAGGCCTAGCTGTAGCAAAAGACAAAACCGGAGCTGGAGCCAAAACCGAAAGTTTTAAGTCTATAAACTCTGGCCAAAATTTTAAAATTTTAGTTTAGTAGAAACACGTAAACCACTGTTTTTTTATATGTTTTAAACCAATCTTTTCAGATATGCGACCTTCTAGTGTCTGTAACATACGGTATTTTAGTACGGCCACGTGAGATATACCCATACGACTGTATTTCCATTAACGGGCTTGTCAAGTATCTTCCGGCTTATAGTGGGTTTGTATCAGTGAGTAAAATACATTTTTATAAAGTGCATTATCATAACTTTTCTAATTGATACGAATGTTACAGTACTCTTAGTTAAGTCAAAATTAGCTTCCTCAAATATAACAATACATATAAGACTAGACATTGTAGTTGACGAAATATACGACCAATTTTTGTGTTCAACCTAGAAAGAATTCCCCTTTTTACGTTATTATAACTATGTCCTTTAAAGACTAATGTTCAAAATACTGTATCATTTGAAATTTTTTTTTCTTTACTACATAACTTATATTGTATTTACCACACTCATTAATAAATCTATTACAGACAATGTTAATGCTAAGTGGGTTAGTACTTTGTATCTCAGCGCAATGCCACTGCATCATCTACCGTGTCTTGGTACTTTTGGATGACAAAAGGTTATTTGTGCTATTTAAAAGTAAAAAGAATTGGATATTGACGTATACGAGCAACTTCACCTATTGCATCTTCATTAGTTTGATGCTGTTTAAAGTGCAACTAAAACCGGACGTAAGTGTTCCTAATTTTAACATTTTTTGTCTTGTTGTATGAAGTAGGTTAAGAAAATGTTTTAAAAAGTACTCTGTATTTGAGGACTACATTTAAGGACTTATAGAAAATTAGGAAAAAATGTACTTTGGTTAACATAAAGTACCAAAATATACTTTCAAAAACCACTTACAAGAAAAGTTCTTAACCTGCTCCATTCAGAAACAAACTAATTTTATAAATTTTAAGTTTAACCATTTTTTACATTAACTTTTTCGCCTCCAAAAAATAAAAAAAATATTTCAGGACATACCTCAAATAAAAAACCTACAACTATCTCAAATCAGTCTAATCGACCCTAAGTTGCCACATTTATGTATAGACCGATCCAATCCCAACATAACCCTTCTCAGTAAGCTAGGTATTGCCGGCTATGCATTTGTAGAAGTACTGTCATTTATTTGTGTATTTTCTATTTTTCGTATTTTAAACGTCAAACGAGCCGCCTTCTCTAAATTGACATACAAAATGCACACCCAACTTGGAATAGCACTAGGTGCTCAGATCATGGCACCAGTACTATTTGTAATGCTGCCAGTTATGTCTGTCGTCTACTGTGGTTATATGGGCTGGACTTTGAGCGATCTGAATGGGCAGATTGTGATACTAGCTATAGATTGTTATGGTGGTATAAGTTCGTGTTTGACCTTGTATTTAATAAAACCGTACAGAAGATTTGTGTACGATCATGTGTTCCGTGCTATCAGTTATGTGGCTCATGGGTCCGAGCGTGGTGACAGCAGTGTTTGGGCGATAAAACTGAACAATACTGGCATTACCCAACAATAGTTTAATTCTGTTATGTATTAATAATAAATTATTAAATTTCTTGCCCGTTACGTAGTGCTTCAGGTATAATATACAAAAAACATTACTTTGATGAAGATATCTCCGTTGCGGCAGCCAATCAAGGCCTGCCCACGGTAGGAAGTCTACGCATTTTTCAATTTTAAAACAAGGCTCGAACACAGGCCTTCAATTTTTTAACCATGAATTTTTAACACTTTAACATACGCCTCTAGTGCTGAAAATATAATAGGAAAATAAAAAAAAGTTACGTTATTTAAGCAAGGCTTGAATATTCGAAAACTTAGAAACACTGGCTTCAAACTAACAGCTGAATTAGTACATTTTTACAAATGAGCGTGCCTGAAATATTAGGCGTTACGTTTGGAACTTTTTCAGCTTTGTCATGTTTAGCGGTAATTTTTGTTGTAATGAAAAAGTCCCCGAAAAACATGCATGGATATCGACGGTTTATTGTCAATTTTACCGTAAGTACAAAACGTATAGTATTTTTATATAGTGAAGGTTTGAATTAGTAAAGATTGCAAAAGAACTGAATTTTCGATATTATTAATATTAAAAAAAGTTTGTTGTAGTAAAAAGGTAATTTTCTAGGTTTGGGATTTAATATTCTTGCTAACCTTATCAGCGTTTGTCAAACCACAAATGATATTTCCGTATAATGGCTGTTACGTTACGGGTTTATTTGCATACCTTGGTGATAGCGGAGCCAACATATCGGTAAGCAACTAAATACCAAGCCTCAGCAAATCTTTTCCTTAGTTATTAGCAAAAAACTGAAGACTGTCAGAACAAATCTATTAACACTTTTTAATTTAAAAAAATTTTTTTAGTTGGTTACCATAATACAAGCTGGTGGTCATGCCTTGGCAACCCAAGTGTTGTGTTTATTCTATCGTTATGCTATCATAAAAGACGCAACTAGGTATAATGACTTTTTCTTAGCCTGGAAAACATGGATAACAACATGGACTATAGCCTTTGTTATATCGGTTGCAGCTGTTTTTATTTTTTATTCTTTAGTCAATGGTCCTGAAGTAAGGTTTTTCAGCCTCTTTGGCCTTTAGGCAATAACCTGCCACTTTTTAAAAAAATCTGCTACGCAAGACTTGTGCACTGAAGACTGCGTGCAGTATTTAGTATTAAAACTTTCAGGACTTACGAAAAGAATTGTTAGAAATCTCTAAACTTTATCCAAATGATCCATTGCCTGATTTTTTCAAAGTTATACTTTATATTTCGTCAGCATCTAGTATGTTAGTTTACGCTGCTGGTTTTATATTCCTTGGTTTCTTCGTGTACGAAGTGGCATCGCTAATCACAGTTTTTATTATTTTGCGAGAACTTGAATTTAAAAAAGCCAGCTTTTCCAAAGCTACGTACAAGCTACATCGACAACTGACATTAGCACTGGCGTTTCAGGTACAGTATGTGTTTGAGCGGGGATGTAAATTTGGTCAGGCTTGCTTCGTATTTTGTTTTTAAACTCTTTTGAAATTTATAATTTTTTTTATTTATAAAATCGTATTTTAGTTGATAACGCCATTTTTGTATATTATAGTGCCAGTTACAATTTGGTTGTTTTGTAACTACCCCTACGCAACCATGAGTAACACCACCGTCTCCTTACTTATAGCATACATTGAGTTTTATGGCGCTTCCAATTCTTTAATTACTCTGGGCTTTGTAAAACCATACAGACAATATTTAAACTCAAAGTTAAAACATCTTGTTAGATGTTTGACCTGTAATAAGTTCTGCAAAGAACAAGATGTGATAGTTGTTATGTTGCCAGAAAGTACCATCAATTCTGGTGTTGGCTAATTTTAAAATTTTAATTATATATGTAATATATTATGAAAAGAATGAAACTATTAAGAGAAGCAATACAATCCATCTGCCATGTTGAACATAAATCCGGAATGGAATTAAATATACAAGTTGTTACTAAAATTTTAGTGTCTTGCAACGAAAATTTAATTCTTGGCATTTTTAAATAACGTTATTCGAAAAATAAGACAATCAGTGTTTTGCCCGGACCGGTCCTGAGCGTTTTTCACCGGTCCGGTCCGGCGATTTTTCGGGTCTGATCCGGTCCAAACCCAAAATTTTGGGATCCAATTCGTTCCGCAAAAAATTTTTTTTTGTTTTTAAAAAAAGCCAGAAGCACTAAAACTAATTTCTTTATGCTTAAAACTTAAAAATATATTTCATTTACAATTTTTAAAAGAGTTTTAATAAATTTTTAAAAACAATTTTTTCCGGACCGGTCCGGAGCTTTTTCTTCGGTCCGGGTTCGCAGGTTTTTGGGTCTGGTCCGGTCCGGCGAAACACTGAAGACAATTAAAGCTTTTTTTTCTTTTTTCGGATTCAAAATGTGAGTAGTGTACAAAACTATGTCTGTTTTACCTTTTCCTAATTTTATATATTTTACTATAAGCTTAGCCTTATTGCCCTTTCAATTGAAATGTCGTTAATGTTTTACCATCGCTGATTTCTAACTTTTATTGTCTCGTTATGTTGTTCTTAAAAATAAACATATTTAGAAATTGCGAAAAATTTTAAAACATAAAAGCGTAGGAACTAAAGCAAAACGTCGAAAACGGTTCTAAGAAAGACTTTTGCAGCGGTTTATGTTGAACTTGTATGATATGTCAAAATTTTTAAAATTGTGCAGTGTAGAGCAGGTGAAAGTATTTAACTTTAAAAAGAACTTTACAGGGTGTCCCAAGAAAAACGAAAAAAACTAAAACGTTATATTTGGTTGGGAAAAAATAGAAAAATGACTATTTTTTAAAAAATCATAATGCCCTTAGTATGCACTTGAAAAATCTGAAATTTTGGGACAAAAAACCGCATGTGCCAATCATTGACAGTGCCAAGTTTGGCATTTTTAGCATTTTTCTCAACCAAAATATAACGTTTTAGTTTTTTTCGTTTTTCTTGGGACACCCTGTAATTCAAAAGTGTATAGGAAATGTTCGATGTCGTTGACGTTTTATATGGTACTTTTGGTTCGTTTTCTATATGCCTTGCTATCTCAGTGGTCTACATAGTATTAACACAGTCTCCAAAAAGCATGCATGGGTATAGGAGATTTGTAGTTAATTTTACTGTGAGTTGTTAATGCTGGTTAAAATACGTTGTATTGTTGTTTAGTAAAAAGTAACAATTTATTTTTACAATTTTTTTATTTAAACTTAAAACAGTACATACAAAGTTGTAGATATGGGATTTGATTTTCTCAGCAAACCTTACTGTATTAGTTAAACCAAAGATGATCTTTCCGTATAATGGATGTTACGTTGCCGGTCTATTCCAATTGTTTGGTGGTGACGGTGCAAAAATTTCAGTATGTTAAAAAAGCTTTTTTTATAAACTCCGCAAGTGAAAAAATAACAACTTTTCTTTATTTAATATAAATAAAGTAGAATTCCTGTATTAATTGGTCAGGAATGTAATATTTGTTTATTATCAGAGTCCCGATATATAGGAACATTGAAAGGTCTGCGTAGTATTGGCCAAACCTTTAAGAGTTGAGTTTTTACTAAAATTGCTTTACAGGGAAGTTAGTTATACTAGAGTTACAAGAGCCCCACTGTTCAATATATATATACTTACAAGGAAAGTACCCTACCTGCCCCGCTCAGAATCAGCTCAAAATTTTTATATGAATTATTTGTACTACCAATAGTACCCATAAAAAATTTTAGCTTGCGCTCTTGAGTTTTAAATTTAAATTATTTGGGTTTCTAGCCAATTTGGCAAATTTGGCATTGTGTTTCAAGTACTTTTTTCGGCTTTCCAGACAGGATACGTTTACAAATTTAAAAATGTAGGTTCATTTAAAGGTTTTCTACTAGTATATCAAAGAAAAATTATTAAAAGTCAAAAAATTACAAAGTTACAAGCTGAAACACAATGCCAAGTTGGCGGGAAATTCAAAATTTCATTTTTTGATTTCGATTTTCTCGAGATTTCCTGGAAAGCGCGATTTAGTACTTTGCTGAAGATTTTACATTTACATGATCTTTCTATATAAAAAGTTTGAAGTCAATCAGAGCGGGGCAGGTCGGGCACTTTCCTTGTTAGAAATGTGTTTTTTATAGGTAGTAGCAATAATCGTGACTGGTGGTCAAGCCTTGACCGCGCAATGTTGTTGCTTGTTTTATCGCTATGCAATCCTAAACGATACTTCATCGTTGACCGATTTCTGCCTGTCAATCAGAACATGGGTAACGGCTTATAGTATAATTGCAGGGTTTTGTGTTTTGACTGCTTTTATTTTTGCACCACTAGCTAATGATCAAGACGTAAGATATAAAATGGATACTCAAACAAATTTTGAACAAATAATATTTTTAGTTTTGAATACAAGTAAAATACACAATGCTTTTTTTAACTAACAACTTAAACTTTCTACTTTAGATAGTTCATCAGCAACTTCAAGAATTGTCGCATATATTTCCGAACGATCCATTACCTGATTTCAACAAAATCATATTGTATTTACCGCCGACATCTGATAAGACGGTTTATGCTGCTATTTTCATATTTGTTGGTTTTTTCGTGTATGAGTTTTCTTCTTTAACGATGGTGTACTTTATACTACGAAAGTTGGAACAAAAGAAGGCTAGTTTTTCGAAGGATACCTACAAATTGCATCGTCAGTTAACTATTGCTTTAGGATGTCAAGTGAGCTTGCCTACATATGTGCTTTTATATACCATTAAGGAAACTTGTAGTACATTTTACTGCTCTGTAGCACCTTTATAATAAAATTTTAAGCGTACGGGTGATAATGTATATATAATACCAAAAATATCAAATTTTAGTTATCAACCCCGTTTTTGCACATAGTTCTGCCAGTGACATTTTGGGTGTTATACAACTATCCATATGGCTACATGAGTAACATGACCGCTGCATCATTTGTTGTCTTTATCGAGTTTTACAGTGTTTCCAATTGTTTGATTACACTG